TCTAATAATTATATTAGTCTAATAATTAAATCCAAGTTAGTTCTGTATATTGACTGAATAATTAAATTTGGACATAAGCCACATGAAACCAGTTTGGTTAGCGCATGGAACAGTTTTTAACTGAACTGTTGACACAGCACTATAAGCAGCTTGTGTTTTAAATAGGTCAGTTTGGATTTCATCAAATTCATTCTATGAAGTCCAGTCAGACTTAACTCTAAGCAATAAGCCTGAACTCCCTAGCCATTCATTTTATTTTTATCCCGCCTTTATTAGTTTTTGCAAATAATTCAAAGTGGCAAACATATCCAACATACTTTCCTCCTCCTATCTTCCCCATAACTCTTGAGCTGAGTTGGGCTGAGAGAGAATGACTGGTCCAAGCTGGCTTTCATGGCTAAGGCAGGACTAGAATTCACACGCTCCCACTTTTTAACTTAGTAACTTAACCACTATATAGTCATGGTATAGTCATTAAGTCACTAGGTTAGTAACTGGTCTAGTCCTCTATTCAGAAACTTGCTTACACCAGAAAGTCACAAATCATATAACCCCACACATATGGGTCCTGTTCTTTTTGAGTACAATAGAGAAGTAGCCTTAAACACCAAGAAAATCCTCTTCCCAAAGATTATTTCAAAATCCATTTATTTGGCCAACACTGTGGTAAGAAGTGACTGCTGCAGGGTGATGAGCAAGGTAAGCATGAGGTCAAACAAAGTGTAAGTGTTGCATGCCATAGAATCAAAGATTAGGTTCTTCAGTCCCAATGAATATTTGCATTGATAAACTGGTCAGTTCCTAGGACTATTAGTAAATTTAATGAGGATGCTAAATAAAATTGTAGAGACTGCTAATGATTGTTGATAGTGAATAGGAGAGGATCAGTGCACTTAGACACAGATAAGAACAACCATGAATAGTTTCAACAAACTGAAGTATCAACAGGTTCCCGGGGTGGGAGGACAACCTATTTATAATTGATTAAGTTTTCAGTGGTGCAAGTTCTATTTCTGTTTTGGTCTATAATGTAACAGGAATGACTAAATGACATCACATCAAACATTTGCGATCCACTTAATGTCTAAATGCCTCATTTCGGACCCTGTGGGATCATCTTCTTAAGGAAATTAGCAGCAAGGACAAAAGGTAATGGAACTTTATTTTAAAATTCCATAATTGGGAGAAGCTCACCACAGGCACATTTTTCTTGTCTTGTTATACTCTTGTCCCCTTTATAGCATTTTATTCAAATTCAAATATATTCTTTGCATATAGGTAAGCCTTAAAGACAATAGGACAGTGCAAACAAAGGAGGAAATTATACAAACAATGCCAGAGAGTACATCTTGGTAGGCTTTAATGGTCACAAGACTGAGCTATTAAGAGCAATTAAGGACAGTGCTAGACAAACCTATTCACAATACTTATTGAATTACAAGGACTTAACAAACCTTATAAGTGTAAACAGGAAGAAATTCAAACAATGCATGCTTATAGGCAAGTGAAGGTCAATCTTAACCTAGCTCTGAGAAACTTAACCTCTTAAGAATCTCTTCAGAGGTGGAGAAAAGATCCAGTAATGCTGACAACCCATTAGAATTACAATGGAAAATCTAGAGGGGAAATTCAAGGATAGAATAACAAGGAAAAAAATATGAGATTAGCTTGTTTTGTTTTTTTCTAAACCCTAAGATACCTATTAGCAAAGGTAGCACATAAGTAGCACAGCAATGAAAAAAGAAGTAAACAGGAAAATGAGAAAAGCTTCTTAAAGCTGCAGTATCAAGAAAAATTATAACTATGTAAAAAGGCACAGTAATTGTGAAAACCTGTGAAAACTTTGTGAAAATATATAGTTTCTATAATCTCATTTTTTGATAGTTTAGACTTGGAACATTTCAAGCCTTACTTAAATTTACCCATTTAGTTGGTGTTCTGGAAGGAGATGTTTTTAGCTGTGCATCTTTTATAAAATGGCCATATTCACTATAATATGAATGTAGACATTGCATACATCACAATTTTTCTTGGAAAAAAGTAGAGCTCTGCTAATGCCTATGAATATGGCTTCAATTTTTGAAGTATAGGGGAAGAAGAGAGAGATTTTAAATAGCTTCTGCTGTTTAAATACATTTAAGGAGGAATAAACAGACAGAAAATACATGTTAATGTGTGGTTTTTTAATTTAAAATTTAAAATTATTTAAAATTTTGTCTTGCTTCACTTTACTTGTTTGTGTTTGCTCAGTCCTGGCTGAGGAAGATGTAGGAACTACCTGCTACAGTAAAATCTTCCCCACTTGCTGCATTAGTTGATTCAGTGTCTGAATTAACTAGTTCCTCTCAGTTACAACTTTTTTGCGACACTAGAAAAATGGTGCTTGGCCTATGGTCAGCAGAATTCCAAGAGTTCAGCTATTGTTTAAATCCCGGTGTTGTAACACAAGGTTTCCTCCTGTTATAGCCTTGGGAGTAGTAATAGCCAGACTTGTTGCCATACTTCACTACAGGCAAAGTCTGATTTATGACTCTTCAATACATTCACCATAATAAATAAAAGTTTTATTGGTATTAGAAGAAGCCACATTTGTGAAGAAAATCAACTAGTTTATAACACAGGAATCTGGTTGTATACGTCAAGCCCAGGGTTTAAATCTCAGGTCTCTTTCTCCTACTTCATTGTTAACAGATATTATGCAAGATAAGAATGTAAAATATATAATATTTAAACTATCAAAAAGAAATGTACCCCACTGAAGCTAATGCTGTATGAGCCTATAAGAATTCTGTAAGTGTTCCAAATCCATGTGATCAGAAAAGCTTTGTTTACAGATAGAATCCCATTTAAAAAAAAACACACATTGGTAGAGTAAGTCCTCATTCTAATTACAGAAGCAAAACTAGGAGCAAATTTACAGTAAAAATTGGTAATGCCGAAAGACTACATAGCCCTGAAAGTGCTAGGGGGAAGGGGACTACCTTAATTACTATCTGAATTCTTTTTGACAAAATATAGTACAGTAATAACCTAAATGACTCAATACAGGCAGATGAAAAACACATTTCTTGAACTCTCTGTAGAGGTTAAAGATTGAAGATATCACCCAAACATGATCAGTACAGAGAGGAGGATCCTTAAAGTAAAGAGGCACATTGTCCCAGGGCCAGGCATGACAATACATTTCCACGCTGGGGACTCAACCCTGTATGCAAAAACTTACTTGCTTCAGTGTTCACAGACATAACCCACCTAGATAAATTACTATCTCCTAAAAGGGATAGAGGCTGCTCGTATGCAGAAGAATACAGTAATCCAGACGTAGATTTACAGGTTTTAAATTTTATGCTTTTTCCTTCTGCCTTTTGCCATCCCAATTCTCTTCCCAACTTTGAGAATGGGTTGAGATACACACTCAGTATTTACAGTACAGTTCTGTCCAGTGGTGGGATTCAAATATGTGAACAACCAGTTCTCTATGTGGATGCCGCTTCCGGAAGTCCATTCTGGGCCTGGACAACAAAAAATTAGCCACCAGTTCGGCCAATCTGGTGTGAACTGACTGAATCCCACCACTGATTCTGTCTAACCTGAGAACTGCTGTTTTCTGTTTAACTAGCTTCTGAACTTATAGTGAAGGAGAAAAATTCAATGGCATTGAAGCACAAATTGTTTTATTACTAAGTCTGGTATTGGAAACCAGGAAGCAAAGACATAAAGAGGAGTGGGGTTACAAGTCCTCTATATAGACTTATACAAATACCGTATATGCTGACGTATAAGACGACTTCCACAAGCGCTAAACTCGGCGCCAAAGACGGGGGTCGTCTTATACGCCAAGTCATCTTATACGCCAGAAATACTGGTAGTTTCCGGCGTATAAGACGACTTTCTAGGAATGCGGCTCGGCAACAAAGACGGGGGTCGTCTTATATGCCGGGTCGCCTAATACGCCGGCATATACAGTAATTACTTTAATTTGATTCGTTGCATTACAATTACAATTAATTAATACCAGTGCAAAGTCTCATTATGAATCAATATGATTGATATTAACTTTACTGATTGGGTAAATCTATATGCACATAAACAGAAAAGGGTGATTAAGTGAAATAATATTTCCAGAATATAATACAGTTTTTCATTTAAACAAAGGGCTTTATAATTGTAATTAAATTACAATTTAATTTCATCCAAACCTTTATCAAAAAATAACCTTGCTTTCTAGTACTAACATTAATTGTAAATTAAATGTTAATTATCGGCCTATAGTTTCCTGGTGTTGTCCCTTTCACTAGGTCTTTTGCCAGTAATTAATCAATCGCTGATGTCTCCTTAATGCAATACTTCATTAAATTGTTCAGCTATAATTGGATGTAAGCTAGTCAGGTATTTGAGTCAAAAGCCATGCAATTTTTAAATCTTCACTCAATTTTTAATTATTTCTGCTGTTATTGTTAATTCTTCCATTTGATTTTACCAAATTTCATCTTCAAATTCTTTTATCTGTCTGGCATTTTTATACTTTTTTTGAGTTTCTCATATAGCTTTCCAGAACTGTATTGTTTCCTTTTTGTTTAGTTTTCCATTTTCAGATATAGTAGTCAGATACAGTAAATTACCTTATTGTCAGGTACAATCACATGTGAAAGTTTATTGATTTATTGTTAAAAGCCTATGCACACGAATCTTCTCAACTAATGGACAGCACTTGGTTAGAGTTAGAAAAGAGTAAAGAGCAATCAAGCGGGTTGGATTTAGTTCACTTGTAGCTACGAAAGGACTCCAAACTGATAGGGCAACAGATAATTTATCCTAGAAATAGACAGTGCATATGAAATTAAAGTCCAATTCAACTTAAAACTTTAACTGATGATAGAGTATTGAATCCAGCCTTGGCTGAAATAATTCAATTTTGTCATTAAGAATAAAAACTTTAAAAAGAAAAATAAACAACATGCAGACACAGAAAATATTTTCAGAACTGGAATAATATTTACCTTAATGATATAATACAGTCAGGATAATAGATACTTTTGTACTGAACCCAAGACCTTGAGTCATCTTCTATCATGTTACTGTCCTCAGTTATTGAGAAGAGACCAAATGAAGCAAATCGTCTTATTGATATTTGCTGAAGGCCGGCATTCTCCAAGGGCTTTTGCTTCAAAACCTTTAATGAAAAACATCATGTCACAAACTAAGGAAGCTGCAACAGGATAACCATTGTCCATGTTTTAATAAACATTTCATTAAATGTTTTAATGAAAACATACTGTAAAAAAATCAGTTAACATTAGTTTGAAAATGTATTGAGGAGAGAATAATTGGATTTTCCAGAATCTGTATCATTTGACATTTCTTTTGAGGAGCAATGTGATGCTTGTTTTGTTAGACGATGTCTTTCATGATCTGTGAAACATACAGTATATAACAGAATAAAAGAGTTAGAAGGGACCTTGGGGTCTTCTAGTCCAACCCCCTGCTCAAGCAGGAAACCGTATACCATTTCAGACAAACAGTTGTCCAATCTCTTCTAGAACTATTTACAACTTATATTTCATACAACATTCTATGAGTGCTGCTCCATATATTATAGCATGCCTTGCAATATGGAGCAACATCTGGCAAGAAGGAAGAAAAACCTAGAAGGTGCTAGCCTAGAAAACAAAAGACCATGAGTTCTACTCTCATCTTAGGCATAAAAACCATCTGTGTGACTTTGGCTAGTCATTTTCTCTTAGCCCAACCCACCATACAGAATTGTTGTTAGATATATTTGCCCCCTTGAGATACTTATAAAAGGAATAAAAACAGGCTGTCACAAAGACAGATGTTTAGACTGGATTTGGTATTTTTATCCATCTATCAAGTCTTTCCCTAGGACCTAAAATATACAGATGTTACAGGTATTGTCACAGGATGTAAGCTGTTCCTAGTAAAGTTGCCTTTTGCAATTGACTGATGGTGATTTTGTCAATGCCGATGGTGTTTAAGTGGTACTCCACGGTTTGGAAATGCACCCAAGGTTCCTATTATTATTGGTATTACCTTTGCTTTCTTTTGCCACAGTCATTCTATCATCATCATCATCATCATCATCATTATCATTATTATTATTATTATTATTATTATTATTATTTTAAACTGCCAAGTTAAGCCTTTTCATTCTAGAAAGCAAATAGGGTGTGACAGCAAATTTCAGAGCAGGAAATCCCCTGACACAGAATCGCCATTCAGTCCTGAAGCTTTGTTGGTCCAGTTCATCTGTCAGTCAGATGCATTTTCCTCGGGGCTTATCAAATATAAAAAGAATAACGCAGACAATAGCAGGGTCTCCCTGAAAAGATGTGAGAACTGTATCCCCATAACAGCACGAGAATAACGTCGGTTCAATTCCTTTGCCCTGAAGGCCAGTTATTAGCTTGCAAGCCGTTGGGGGCGTCATTCGAGATCAGCTTTGCCGCCTCACCAGTCAAACAGAGGCAGCAATAATTTATTCAAACGAAGCGAAATCATTGCCCGTCTGCATGCTAGAGAAACGGCAGGTGATGCAACGGGGTTCCCGGGGGCAAACAAGCGGCTCTGGCCGTTGACTTTTCGTACCTGTCTGAGAATCGTCCAACGGGCTTTGGCGGCTGCCTGCTTGCTCCTTTTCCCGGCGTCTCCCTCTTCGTTTTCCGCCTGAGCCCTGTCAGCTGGAGTAGAAGAGCTCGGGAAGGGCTCTGTAGCCATGCTAATGCCAGTTCTCTCTTCTTCTGCTGCTCTAAACTCAAACTTAAACGAGCGCGCCAAAAAATAAATCGTGAGAAATGAAGGGGGGGAAGGGAGTCCAGAAAGAATAACCCTAAACTTACTCAGGGATCGGCCGCCTTCCTTAGAAAGTAGCGACCGAGCACAAGGAACAGTCGTCAGGGATGGGAAGCTTTTGCCCGAACCTTATATAGCAAGAGTTGCTAAAACCTTCCATTTAGCAAGTAGGAGCATGAGAAGATGACGGAATCATCTTTGATGCGGGCAAGGAAGGATGCTTGACAGCACGGCTACGTGAAAGAATGCAGTTAGTAAAGGATTATTTCTTGCTGCAGAGCTAATCTCATCTCTTTTATTGCCATGGTGGGGAAAAGTATTGCCCGATTTTTAACAGAACTATTTTTTTTAACAGAACGTTAAAAAACAAACAAACACACATGATCGCGAATCAGGAGAGGCGTTGCAGTGCCCCAGACCAAAATGGAGATTTCGTATTTTATTTGCGGGCACAGGAAATCGACATGTTGATAAAGGGCAAAGCGAAGACTCCGGAAAACCGCTGCCTTCTGCCATCTTGGTTGTGGGCAAGCATTGCGTTTCTAACATATCGGGGTATACGCAGATGAAGGTTTCAGTCGCCGGCTTAACAGGTCATCGTCGTTCGCCTTTTCTGTTGCTGCTTGTCTATGATCGAAGTTGTTGTCGCGTTCCCTGAGATTCATGTTTCATTCTGGGTTGTTAAGTTTCTCCTTACAGAGTGATTAAAAGGTAAAAAGATAGTCGTAATATTCCTATTGATTTAATTAATATATTCCAGTGACTAGAGACAACTGCTGTTTTGCTTTAAAACAGTTTGAAACGAGAAATCAAGCCAAAAGGCTGGCTTTCTCCGTATCTACGAATTAAAATGTTATGATAAAGTACAAAATGATAAATTTAATTGTAAGGGCAAAAAAGTTGAGACTAAGTATGCAGTTCTACAGTGCTGTACTGCACAATGAACTGCTTATAGCAAGGCATGTGTATTAGAGTCCACTAAATTCCTCGAGGCTTAACTTAGAGTAAACATACAATACTAGGTTGTTAGATGGGTTATACCCTGCTATCTTATGAAATGCCTTTTTTCCTTGAGGCTCTTGCTAAATCCTCAAATCCAATATATTATTGATTTTTTAGAATGGAAAGGCATTTTTTGCAATTTGTTGGACCAGTATTTATTTATTTTTACATACATGTACCAAATTTGTACACACATGTACCCCCCTTGCAAACAGTTTTGTGCAGCGGTTAACGAGTTTGCCTAGAAACCAGGAGATGGTGAGTTCTAGTCCTGTCTTAAAGGCTGGCTGTGTGATTTTGGGCCAATCATTCTCTCATAACCCAACTGGTGCAGAATGTGGTTGTGCAGACAGTTCTTGGGGTCCCTAGGGTGGCACATAATTACACTGCTGTTCTGAGAGCTGCACTGGCAGCTGGTTTGTTTCTGAATTGCAATTCAGGATGTTGGTTATCACTTTTAAACTCCTTCATGGTATGGCCAGGCTATTTGAGCAACCCTCAATGGATTGGCTCGCCTCACTCATGCCAGTAGACAGGGCATGCTACGTACCCCATCAGTCAAGGAATTTTGGCTGGTGGCATCCAGGAGAGGAGCCTTTTCTGCTGTGGCTATTGCCCTTTGTAATATTATGTCCCCCTGAGATCTGCACCCACACTTCTGAATTTCCATAAAAGCCAGTTGGCCTGTGGCCCCAATGGGGGTGCATCACGCTGGAGATGGCTGATGGATTAAGACAAGATTCCACATTTTCCCCATTTACATTCTACCCCCTTCCTCCCCATCTTTTTAATTGTAAATTATTGCTATTATTATGAGTATTTATTGCTTGCATGTTGTATTGGCTTTTAATAAGCTGTCCAGAATTACTTCTGGATGAGATGAGTAGCAAATAAATTAAATAATAAAATAATACAGATATATAGATACACACAGAGAGAGAGAGAGAGAGATCTTTACATTGATTCACTCTGATTGAGTTTGTGTATTTACCTACATATTCTTTTCACAGCTGAAGATGTTCCAGTAACATTGGTCGAGAACATTAATGCATAATATTACATTAAAGTATGACATCCTCAGCCCATCCCCAGCCTATTGCAGAAGCAGGTTCTACCCAACAGTCCATGCTCTATTTCAGAAGTGAACTGTTGTCACAAGTGTGCTGAGTGGTCAGTGTGCCACAAATCAAGGTAAGTCTTGAAGTGAAGTCCTACATGGCTACTATTGGCCACCTGGTCGCTACTGCAAACATACCCCTATGTGATCAATGCTTGTTAAATTTCAGGGGCATTCCCATTTTAGCAATGGGAGAATCATAGGGAAAGTGGATGTCTTAGACCTCTTCTCACACCTTGGCCCATCTTTTGATTGGGATGAAGACAGGTATTTCCTATTATCATTCATCGCACAGTCAGCTAGATGTTCAGACTGGATTTGGCATTTTGTCTACCTATCGAGTCCTTACCCAGGACCTGGGATAGGCAGATGTGGATGTTTGATGGTATTACAGGTATCGTCGCAGGATGGAAGCAGTTCCTAATAAGGCCGCCTTTTGCAATTGACTAATAGCAAATTTGTCAATGCCAATGGTGTTCAAGTGGTGCTCCAGTTGTTTTGGGATTGCACCCAAGGAGCCTATGACTATTGGTACTACCCTTGCTTGCTTTTGCCACAGTCTTTCTATTTCTATTTGTAGGTCTTTGTATTTTGTTATCTTCTCCAGTTCTTTCTCTTCTATTCTGCTATCTCCAGGCACTGCCACGTCCACTATCCAGACTTTTTTGTCTTTCTTATCGACAATTGTTAAGTCTGGGGTGTTATGTTGCAGGTGCTTGTCTGTTTGAATTCTGAAGTCCCAGAGCAGTTTAATTTTATCATTTTCTATGACTTTCTCTATTTTATGATCCCACCAGTTTTTGCTTACAGGCAAATGATATTTTTTGCAGATCTTCCAATGCACCATTGTTGCTACTTTGTCATGCCGCTGCTTGTAATCAGTCTGTGCAATCTTCTTGCAACAGCTTACCAAGTGGTCCACTGTTTCTTCAGCTTCTTTGCATAGGCGGCACTTACTGTCTGTTGCTGTCTTCTCAATTTTGACTTTGTATGCATTTGTCCTTAAGGCTTGGTCTTGTGCAGCCAGAATTAGTCCCTCGGTCTCTTTCTTCAATTTTCCTGCTCTTAGCCATTGCCAGGTTTTATTATTATCTGCTTTCCCAGCTATTTTTTTCATGTATTGGCCATGTAGTGCTTTGTCTTCCCATGCCTCTATTCTGTTCTTCATTTGGTCTTTCTTGTAGGCCAGTTTGGTCTCTCCAGTAGTTAGTAAGCCTTCCTGATATACTAATTTCAGTGCATCTTCATCATTGTTCTTCAGATATTCTTCCAAAGCCATTTTTTCTTCTTCAACCATCTGATGTACTTGTAGCATTCCACGCCCACCTATTTGCCTTGGTAGATAAAGTCTATCAATGTCACTGCGTGGATGAAGGGCATGATTCATTGTCATTATTTTTCTGGTCTGCCTATCCATTGCTTTTAGTTCTGCTTGAGTCCAGTCCACTATTCCAGCTGTGTACCTAATGACTGGGATTGCCCAGGTGTTGATTGCCTTTATGGTATTTCCTCCATTGAGTTTGGATTTTAAGATCTTCTTCACTCTCTTGATGTATTCACCTCTAATCTTTTTCTTGACTTCAGTGTGCTTGATGTTGTCAGCTTGAAGGATACCCAAGTATTTGTAGTACTCTTCCTCATCCAGACTCTTAATGTTATTTTCGTGGGGCATCTTGATTCCTTCAGTTTTCACTATTTTTCCTTGTTTGATAGTAAGTGTGGCACATTTGTCCAAGCCAAACTCCATTACAATATCTTGGCTATATATACGGACAGTGTTGAGCAGCGATTCTATTTCAGATGATGTTTTTCCATACAGCTTCAGATCATCCATGTAAAGGAGGTGGGATAGTCTGGCAGATGTTTTTGATGTTTGATAGCCATGTCCTGAGTTATTCAGTATTGTTGACAGAGGAAACAGTGCAATAACAAATAGTAATGGTGATAATGAATCTCCTTGAAATATTCCTCTCTTGATATTAACCTCTCCCAGCTTCTCACCATTGATCTGCAACTGTGTCTTCCATTGTGCCATCGATCTTTGCACAAATTTTCTGATGTTTCTACTTACTCCTGTTATTTCTAGGCACTTGATTATCCAATCATGTGGCAGAGAGTCAAATGCCTTTTTGTAGTCAATCCATGCCACATTCAGGTTGGTCTTCCTTCTCTTGCAGTTTTCCAAGATCATTTTGTCTATTAGGAGTTGATCTTTTGTTCCTCTGCTATTGGGGCGGTTTCCTTTCTGCTCAGGTGGAAAGAGATTGTTTTCAACTAGATGCTGTTGTACTGCATCAGCTACCACACCAGTTAGTAATTTGAATGTTGTTGGCAAGCAGGTAATTGGCCTGTAGTTACCTGGTGTTGCCCCTTTTGCTGGATTTTTCATTATTAGGTAGGTTTTCCCAGTTGTTAGCCACTTTTCAATTTCTCCTCCTTGTAGTATATTGTTGAATTGCTTGGCAATGAGTGGGTGTATAACAGTTAGATGTTTCAACCAAAACCCATGCAGTTCATCTTCACCTGGTGCTGACCAATTTTTGATTTTCTTTGCTCTTTTTTCTACCATTTTTGTTGTTATTACTAGTTCTTTCATTTCAACTTCTGTTTTATTTGCATCCACCTCTTTTAACCAAGCCGCATCCTTGTTGTATTTCTTTGGGTTATCCCATATCTGCTTCCAGAACTGCACTGTTTCTTCCTTGTCAGGTACTGACTGATTCCTTGCAGTTTCTCCATTGATGGATTGGTAGAAACGTTTCTGATTGGATTGAAATTGGAGGTTCTGCCTATAGTTTGCAATTCGAGCTTCATATCTACTGATTTTCCTGGCTATAGCTGTTATTTGTTGCTTTATTATTTCCAGTGCTTCCTTGATCTTCCTTGTTTCTAAGTGGTATTTCTTGATTAGGTATTCTTTGGTCTTCTTGTTCTTCAGCTTCTTTTCTTTCATCTGTTCTAGCTTGCTTGCATGTGATCTTAACTTGCTGATCTTATTTTCTAGTCTAACCTTCCATTTTTGTGGTGCACTGTTTGTTTGTTTTTCTTTTTTGTTGATTTTACATCCCAGGTATTCTGTTATAACTGCAGCTGTGCTGTACATTAGTTGGTTTGTTTCTTGCAGTGAATTGGTGCTTATACTTGCTATTGCAGTATTTGCATCTTTTAATGCTTGTGCTAGCTGTTTCTTTGGAACAAGCTTCAATGCAGGCAGCCTTATTCTGTTGTTTTTGTGCTGTTCTAGATGCTCAGTTATTCTTTGTTTCAATTCTTTTATTTCTTTAGTTAGAGGGTTTTGTTCTTCCTGAGGAAGAGGTGCCTGGTTTCCAAATGAGAACAGTTGTATATCTCTACTGGATTCTTTCACTGCCAACTCCCCCTGGTTTGCCTCTACATTCTGAATTACTTCTGGTAAGGCTTTGATTTCTTTGCCCTGGGTAAACCTTTGCAGTTCGTCCAATTCTGTTTCTGTAAATACTTTATTTCGTGTTATAAATCGGCGTTGATCTGCTAGTCTCTGTTCTGTTATTTCTGATTCTGGATGTTGTTCTTTCCAGAATTGGTGCATTCGTTTTAGATATCCTCGTCTTGTTGGACTTGATCTGTAGTAACAGATCATTATTTCTTTGTTTTCCATCACTGTGTATCTGCGACGGGTAAACACCTTTTCTTCCAGTAGTTCTGCAGCTGCTGGCCCTGGTTGCTCAGCCAACAGTCCTGAGTCCTGTAACCCATTTTTCACCAGATATCCAGGAACTCCAATATCTAGTGCGGACCTTGTTAACCCGGGCGACGTCCGAGCCGGTATGGCATTCTGAAATTTACGTCTCACCATATTTTTTATTATTATTATTATTATTATTATTATTATTATTATTATTATTATTATTTACTTTCCTATCAGCTTTGCAAGTAACAAGAAGCAGATCTAGAAATACTACCTCCCGTCTCTCACTTTTACTCTCCTGAAAAAAGGGTGTTCCTTCTAAGATGTTTTCACCACCCCTCCTCTTTTGAATTCAAATCACATTTATGAGATTGTTGTCATGGTTGTGGCTCTTCCTTCTATCTTCCAAGATCATTCCCATTCTAGAGCAGGGGTCTTCAAACGTGGCCCTTTTATGACTGGCTGAGGAATTCTGGGAGTTGAAGTCCACAATTCATAAAAGGGCCAAGTTTGAAAACCCCTGCCTTAGGGATACCATGATTGCCATTTAGTTTTAACCAGACCATAGCCAAAAGTGGTTCCTGTTCTAGTACAGAGAAGGTTCTAAACAGTCAGGGATAGATAGCAAGAGTATGTAAAACTGAACTGCAGACTTCAATTAGATAAACAAGAAACAAGAATCAAAAGCTGGAAATGTTGTGGACATTTTAATAATCAGATTAAAGATAGACAAATGAGTATCTGAGTTGTGAGTATTGTAGAACAAATATAACAATTATATAAAGTTAAATAGTTGATATAAAGAATCAATCTAGTCATTGATGGCCTGCAGCATTCCTTTTCACTGGTACCATTATGACATTACAGTATTGGAAACATTGGGCCAGTTAATTCTTGAACTTGTGAGGTTCCTTGGTTGTTCAGCAAATAAGACTCTTGGCATTTACTCCTTAAGTTCTTGGTACAATTCTTCTGCCACCCTTAAGGAGATTCAATAAAATTATATTGGGATTTTTGATTGTGAAATAATGACCTATCTTTTGACAAATGGAAATGAGGAGCCAATATGATGTAGTGGTTAGAAACTAGAAATCAGGAGTCTGAGTTTAGTCCCACCTTAAGCTCAAAGCTATCTGTGTGACCTTGAGCCGATCATTATCTCAGTCCTAGAAAGGACGCAATGGCAAACCACTCCAAAATTTTGCCAAGAAAACTGTAGGGACTTGTCCAGGCAGTCACCAAGAATAAACAGTGATTTGAAGCAACATCTTTTGATAATATTAAGTATTCTTAAAATGTTATTTTTTTTATGCAAGTACTGTTTTTAGAAACCAGTAAGGCTAAAAAGTCTCAGTTTTGTTTATAATTTCCCTTCCGTTAAATTTTATAATTTCTTTTTTCTCTTCCAGTTCTGAACCAATAGAATTGAAGTCTATACATTTAAAAGTGAAACATCTGCTGGCTGCGACTAGTTTACTTGGATTTGCTATTACTTTGGATTCTAAATAAGCATGAAGAATCAAGCAAGATGAATATTTTGTCATCATGTATTCAGGCATTAAATATTTTCCTTCTTTTTTGGAAGGCAGTATTGGTCACCTCATGAACTGCTTTAAATATTCCTCCACTTCATCTGTAAGATTTTATAGCCAAACAAAGCAACAAGTATTTTTCTTTACAACATGTTTTAGAAATGTATGCATTGTTCCTTATTCCCAGGGAAGCATTCAGTCATGGAGGTTTTTTTCCTGCAAGGTGAGTTATTTGAATAAATCATTCAGCCCAATAAATATCTTGGCCCTTACACAATAAAAACTGCCTTTTTCCTTGTATTAGTGACTCACTAAAGTTATTAAGGCAGAAAATACATTTTCAGATATGCTTATAAGGGCGTGATACTTTTGGGGCTTCTGTTCTGGATTCAGTTGTAATTGGACAATGAGATGGACAACACAAAAATTTGACAAATATTTAAAAACTGGGTTCTGCTATTCCAGCTCTGTTTAAAAAACTGTTTATTCACTGGAAATTCAGTGACAGATTACAGTTCAATAGAATAAATATATTTTTCATTTCTGCCAAAGACAATTTCTAAATTCTGTAGTCAGAAATTTAATTCAAATAGCAGCATTTTGTGTTGATAGAATGAAAATGTTGAAGTAAGAACTGGGGGAATATCAAAAGGGATCTCTATAAAGTTTCCATCTTCTGTGGAGCTTATAGAAATAAAAAACATGGAACTAAGTGAGACTAATCCAATTTAAATGTTATATTAGATCAGAAAGAGACTGATAATGGGAACTAGGAGGATGAATGTGTGTTGGATATATTCACCACCTTAAATTATGTGTAACAGTAACAACTGGGATACAGATAGATAAATAAAATACAGTAGCATTGCTATTACTAAGCAATTGCTTAACATTACTAAGATCTTTTCAGCTATACAGTAGTTTATATAATTTTTTGCCATAATTTTACATTTTTAATTTTTAATTTATTATGTTGTCTAATGTGGATAGATTAAGTCTTACCATTTGGCAGTGTATCAGAAGAATAGAAGAATAGATAATTTTTGCAGATTATAACATGCATTACTATTGTAGCATGTGCAAATGATGTTATCATACACATTAAGTTTACTTTAGAATTTTGTTGTTGTTGTTAATTGCGAAGTCATGTCCGACCCATCGTGACCCCATGGACAATGTTCCTCCAAGTCTTCCTGTCCTCTACCATCTTCTGGAGTCCACTTAAGTTCACACCTACTGCTTCAGTGACTCCATCCAGCCATCTCATTCTCTGTTGTCCCCGTCTTCTATTGCCCTCAATCTTTCCCAGCATTAGGCCCTTCTCCAGTGAGTCCTTCCTTCTCATTAGGTGGCCAAAGTATTGTGAGTTTCAACTTCAGGATCTGGCCTTCTAAAGAGCAGTCGGGGTTGATCTCTTCTAGGACTGACCGATTTGAACGCCTTGCAGTCCAAGGGACTCGCAGGAGTCTCCAGCACCATAATTCAAAGGCCTCAATTCTTTGTCGCTCAGCCTTTCTTATGGTCTAACTTTCACAGCCATACATTGGAACTGGGAAAACCATGGCCTGGACTATACGCACTTTTGTTTGCAGGGTGATGTCTCTGCTTTTAGTATGCTGTCTAGATTTGCCATAGCTTTCCTCCCCAGGAGCAAGCGTCTTTTAATTTCTTAGCTACAGTCCCCATCAGAGGTGATCTTGGAGCCCAGAAAAATAAAATCTATCACTACCTCCATTTCTTCCCCATCTATTTGCCAGGAATTGAGAGGGCCGGATGCCATGATTTTGGTTTTCTTAATGTTGAGTTTCAAGCCAACTTTTGCACTCTCCTTCTTCACCCGCATCAAGAGGCTCTTTAGTTCCTCTTCACTTTCTACTTTAGAATACTTCAACCCAATTGATTGGTCCTTAAATTTGTATACAAGTATTAAAATATTATAAATTGTCCATAGATCAAAGTTTCCATATCATTTTTTAATGGACAGAGTTCCTTGCCATGAGGAAACAAATTGAATACTGTTCATATTTAGCTCTCATATTGTGAGACTATCTGTGTGGAAAAATAGAGAAAGTTTTTTAATTTTAGGAACAAATTAAACATTGACTTTGCTAATACAAATACAATTCGTATTCACATTCTTATATTATCAATAGCAGTCAGTGGTAGCTCTGGACAGCATTGAGATCATAGGAAGAGAATGATTAATTCTTTTAGAATTAGGAAGGGGGAGAACACCTCTCCAAATCTGCTATTTGCAATTCAAAGGAAATTGTCATATTACTGATAAAGAAGACTCATTCAATTTAAAAAATATTCTTATAGTTTTCCAACCTATTTGGTTATTAACTAAATTTTCTGGAACAGGATATACAAAATTATTAAGTTGGTATATAATTTCAGATTGCATACTGTAAAATAAATCCTGCTTCTTAACATTTAGCATTTCATATCTTTTACTAGGATCTTCTGAAATCGGAGCAAAAGAACTGGAGAGTTTGTTCAGCAAACTACACAGATTTGAGAGAGAGAATTAAACAAAAATTAGAAAAACACTATGACAATCATTCATTAGAATTAAATAGCCTGATGGTAAGTATTATAAAAGTTGCTAATTTGTTTATGTTATTGATTCAAATAATATTTTGAAAATAATTTAAAGAGATGTCCCTATGATAATGCTTGTCTTGTTAGTGTCTGCATTTACCTAGCTTCTTTAAACCTTCAAAGTTATTTATGTGCATTACATCCATATTATCCTTACCAAAAATTTATAACATATTATTATTAAACCAATTCTACACATTGAGAGACTGAAAGAATAATTTGCATTGGTCTATTTACCGAGTGCATTGGAAAAATGAAATTGAGATTTAATACATTTCCTCAAACCAGGATTTAAAACCAATGTGACAAAGATTTTTTTCATCAAAATAAAACAATTTTGTCATGTGTCCATCATGATTATTCCAGTGTTTGAATATCCGTTTATATTTATTGAAGTTTAATGGCTTGCATTTCACTAGGAGGTTTTTGTTTTTTTTTTTTGCCTGTTTGGTTTTTAAGACATTTCATGATTATACTGTACATTTGTATTCCATTTGTTTCTGCCAAGTTCTGAATATATGAAGAGCAAATGTGATACTTATTGTTTGACTCTGAGCCAGTTTTGTGCTCTCAACACAGTCTTTTTATATGATTATTCTTGTACGGAAAAATGGGAGGAGGGACCTAGAGCTTCTGAATGAATAAATTATAAATCTAATAAATAACATGGAAACTTGCATTATATTTATATCTGAAGGAATCTCAGAGTTAATTATACCAAGAATATAGAAATATTTGTAAACAATTTGGATGATCTTGGAAAATTAACCAGAGTCAGATGTACCCATATCTTGAAACACTGGGTTTGTTGCATAACTGATAAATAAAAACAAATTCCAGAAGAAGGCAATGGCAAACAGTTTCATATTTTTGCCAAGGAAGCCACATAGCTGTGTCCATGATATTGTTAGGAATCAAGCTTAGCTTAATCAAAATAGTATATATTCACGGTCCTGGACTTTATCTCACTCTCTAATAACTGAGAAGTATTTAAGCATAAATTAGTATTAGTAGCAGCTATATATATGTATTAGTTCCTACAGTAAAATAAATGTTTTAGATAGGATGGATAAGAGAAGCAAATGAAATACATTTGATAGCTGGATACAAATCAAACAAATAATGGTCGTGGTATATATGTTTCAATGGATACAAAGTGAAGCGATGCCTGTGTTCATCCATATATGCCTTAAATCAGGGCGCCTAGGATAATAGACAATAGAGTGGGTTTGATTAACACTCTGCAACTCTAGTTAATCCTTGCTTACCAACCACTCATTCAGTGGTCACTTGAAATTACAATAGCCTGCAGTCTTCAAAGTTGTGACCATTGCAGTATCCCAGTGATCATATGACTAGATCAACAATTGCACATTTATGACAGTCACATTGTCCTACAGTGATGTGATCACCATTTGCGAACTAGACAACCAGCTTCCAACAAGCAAGTCAATGGAAGTTGCCACTTGCGTTCATGTGATGTTACACTTAACAACCGCAGGCATGTGATATGATGGCACCATCACGTAACATTTAACTTTAGAATCACATCACTTAGTGATGGAATTTCCTGTGCCAATTGCAGTCATTTGGGGACTACCTGTATTACCATAAAGATTATTACTGAATTGAGAGAGATGAAAAGGCTATTGACTGAAATGTGATGATAGTGGAATAAAAATCAAGTGTTCAGAATGGTATAAACCAGTATTTCCCAACTTTGGCCTCTTTGAGATGGGTAGACTTCAACTTTCAGAATGCTGATGGGGGAATTCTAGGAATTAAGGTCCACCCATCTCAAAGTGGTCAAGGTTGAGAATCAGTGGTATAAACAAAGACTTTCTTTGAGTTACTAGATCTTTACAGCAGCTTTCTTCAAATCATATGAGGAAAGGTTAAGGGAACTATGTGTATGTAGCCTAACAAAGAGAGGAATTAGGGGTGACATGATAGTTGTCTTGTAGTACATGAGGAGCTGTCACAGAGAGATAGGGGTCAATTTAACTCCTGAGGGCAGGATAAGAAGCAATGAGTGGAAGCTTATTAAAGAGGCATCCAACCTGGAACTAAGGAGAAACTTAGTGACAGTGAGAACAATTAATCAGTGGAACAGTTTCCCCCACACACACACACACCAGAATTGTGGGTGTGCTATCGCTGGAAGTTTTCAAGAAAGTATTGCACCACCAATTGTCAGGGGTGATATAAGATCTGCCATGAGCAGGTGGTTGGACTAGAAGACCTCTAAGGTCCCTTCCAGCCCTATGATTCTATGATTCTAATACTACATCTCCCAGAATATTCACCTGGCAGTAACTGAGGATACTGAAACTTGTAGTCCTAGTATATCTGGAAGACAGCTTGGAGAGAAGTGCTAAATTTTATAGTTTTCATGTTACATGAGGAATATGAAGGAGCATATTTTTCTTCTAATTCCATGGATCTCAAAAAAGCTCAGTTTATTGTGCAGGAATTTGACAAAACGTAATTACAGATAATGACATAATTCTTCATTCTTTGTAATGGATCCATCTTTATGTTAATGTTAAACAGATAAAGTTTGGAGACTATATTTACTTTGAAGAAAATGGCTGCATATTTCGTTCAAAGCTAGGAGAAGTAGGTACGATTATTATATTACTAAATTTAATTTTTTTTAGTCTCTGCGTATGTAACTTTAATAAATTAAAAGAAACTTTCAGTGAGGTCTTATTAAGACAGTGTATTACATTAGGCAGGAAAAAGAATATGTTATTCTTAACAAAACTGGTTAGAATCACAACCAGTCAGAGAGAAGCTTGAGCAGGAGGCCATGTATCTTAGGTCTCATACTACAAAATGTAAGAACTTGCATTTGGGCGTTAGTTATTTTTATTTTAAAATTATGTTTTATTCAGAATTTATGTAAGTAACTTGAGCGATTGTGAATCTCAGAGAGGACAGTTGGACACTTAAACCAATTCCATTTACTCCAGGAATCAAACTCCATTTTCAAGGGAATGTTTTTAAGGGGTAAATTTCACTCAAAGTAGTTTTTTAAAAGTAAGCATAAATGTCCATGCAATTCTGTCTTTTAGGTTTGTAATTTTATTTAGCAATAAACTATAGGAGATCCCTTTAAAACATTATAGAACAATATTTTGCAACTTTAAGATGTGTGTACTTCAACTCCCAGAATTCCTTAGCCAGCCAGTCATACAAGCATATACCATATATATACACGTACATTCATATGGTGGCCATTTTATTTTTTAAAAAATAAAGAGCATGGGACAAAATGTACTTAAAATAACCTATTGATTTTGTGTTATATTTTTAAAAAGTGATGTCATATCTTCCATTACTTTGCCAGTATATTTGGATGTTATTAGGGAGTAAAATACATTCAAACTCAGTTTCTTTGTTTTCATTTTTTGCACAAAATTTAAGGTAGAATTTTTGAAATAAAAAGTATATGACCACAGTCTTGCCAGTTTCACTGTAGTTAAGGTCCATCTATCCATCAATCAGTTGATTAATGGAGAAAATTGATGTGGTTGCTAAAAATCAATACCATCTTGGCACTTAATCAATCAATCCACATCCATTAAAGCAGTGACAATTAAATTAGTCACAAATTCTTACCATTGAATTTGATTAACTTTAGCACAATCAAGGCCTGTATATACAAGACTAATCCCAAAACTTTATATGTATAAACGCATTCAGCTGTATATCAAAACAACAGATGATTCTTTGTATTAATTCTCCCATTTTAACATTACTGTTTTATATATTGTAGAGGAAGAGAACTATGAAGCATTACTTAGCACAGAAGCTCTACCTTTTGAAAATTCTTTTATTCAGCAAATCCGAATTTCCCCAGACCATGGATATATGGCTACTGGAATTAAAAGTGCAAGCTCTGAAGAATGTGCTTGTATTATTGTGAAACTACATCCAATATCAAAAGTGGAATGTATTATCCCAAATGCATTTAGTTTTGGTAAGCATTTAGTAAAAAGGGAATGGGCATCCTGGTGAAAGTATCTTAGGCACATGGGGAAATAACCCAGAAACCATATGGAAGTGCTGAATCAAGCCTTTCAGCGGTAGTTATTGCCTAAACTCTTCTTGGAGTAGCCTTTGTCTTAGAGTCTTGCCAAGTGATTTGCATAACCCTAGAATAAATCTGTTTTGCCAGACTAATGCAGCCTTCATAAACCTGGTTCCTTGCATATGTGTAAGTCTTTAATTTTCATACTTCGCAACAAATTGATGACGACTTTTACAATATACTAAATCAACTTGGTTGTGGTTTCATAATTTTTAGATTTGCCAAATATCCTGAAGTTGGAGTGGGGTGGGGTATAAGGTAGGGCAAATGGGAAAACAAGTACAGTATCCCAATTCAAGTTCCACACTTTTTATACATGTATCTTGATTTCAGAATACATAAGAGCAGGCGCTTGTTCACAAAGCTGATTTCATTATTCTCATGAAACACTCAGATTCTGCAGATATTTCTAAATCTGGATATGTATAATCCTATATTAAGAAGCCGCCTGTTTCACTAGTTTTAATGAATCATTCCCCATAATAAAACCCACACTTTGGTTTTGTGTTGAAATTAAGAGCAGCTGAAATTTTCTTCTTCCAAACAATGGAAACAAACTTGCTTAAAACGGCATTTTTCAAAGGATATTGGCATTTCTATTTGCTAAGGTATTAAGTATTCCTATAAAAAATACCAAAAGGCCAGTACAGAAGGGTGTTAAAGCAGAGTAAAGTTCTAGTGTAAATATAATAAAACATACCTTTCCCATACGTTCACACACACTTTGGAGGGTTTTTTTTGTTTTTTTGTATTCTGCCTGTCCGGAATTCAAGGAACTATATATAATACTCTCCAGTTTTGGGCCATTAATAACAAACCTGTGAATTGGGTTGGATAGAAATGTAGTAACTGGCGTAATTTCATCTACTGAATTTTCATGGCTGAGTAAAAACTTAAACCTTGATCTTCCTAATCCTAATCCAACATTCATATTGTCTTATTATTTGGATTTCAGTCCACTTCATTAAATATTGAAAATGTCCTAAACTGAAACATATATACATATTGGGAAGGACATTTTAAAGAGAAATCATATGCAAAAACAACAAGCAGTAACAATTATTGTAAATAATTATGGGGAAAAGCATTGTGACAATTGATACTAGAGATACTAGAGATATCACAGATGTTAATAGCCCATCAGAGTAATGGAATTCATACAACTCCAAGCTGTAATGAATGTGCTAGATATTGGGCATCTTTATTTTCACAGTGGTAAAATACTGTTGTTGGGGCACTAGAAGAAATAGAAAGACTGACAGTTGCAGTCCAGAAAGAAACACATCCTGCACAGTAGTACTTACGGCACACTGATTCTGCAGGAATTTTTTTTTAAAAAAAAAACTGCATTAATCTCTTATTGTTTTTCATCTTAAATTTAATCTTAATCAATGATTAACTCTAGAATTGTGCATGGGTGATTTTTTTTATTGAAAAAGTTTTATTGACAATTAACAAAAAAAATTAAACCCAAAAGAAATAATTGGGGAGTAAACTTTATCTTCCTTTTAAAAAATATTTTGAATGTTCCACCAAATCATAATCCAAAAAGCCTTAATATTTTTACAAGTCCACCATACATGAAAATAAGTTGCGTCAGAACTACCACATCTCCAACATTTAGGCTGTAAATTAGGATACATACAAGACAACTTCTTAGGATCCAAATGCCACCTATAAAACATTTTATAAAAGTTTTCCCTTAAATTTTGAGCCTGTGTAAATTTAACATTTCTGATCCAAATTATCTCCCATAAATCCAATGGAATCGGTTCCTGGATATTCTGAGTCCATTTAACCATACAATCTTTAACCAATTCCGTTTCCGAATCCAATTCTATTAACGCATTATAAATTCTTTTTATGTGAGCCTGATTCTGATCTTTAATCTTAATTACCAAATTTTCATCTCCTAATGTTATTCCTACTTTCTTATCTAAAGTTCACCTATCCACTATTTGTAAATACTGGAACCATGACTGTAAAATATTTTCTTTCCTTAATACATCTAAAGATTTTAATTGCCAATCAGTACCTGACCAAATAAGTAATTCTTTATACGGAATTTTTTCAAAGTTCATCCCCTTAGAAATCCCCTCAATTGCATGTCCAGGAATCCCCCAAATAGGTATTTTTCACATGTTCATTTCCAATTTATTATTTTATATTGGATTTATTAAATACAATAGCCTTATGGTTCCTAATCATATCTTATGTTAGCAAAAAGTAAACTTTCTTTTTTTGTCTAGAATGGGCTACACATGACATTCTGTTCTATACCATCCAAAAGAATCTTCAGTGTCATTCTGTATACTTGTCTGATTTTAATAAAAAGCATTCTGGACTGGTGTATACAGAAAGTGATGCAAGGTAAGTCGGATATAGTTAACTGCTTTCTCTATGTATAATTCTGTATTAAACCTGATAAATATAGATAGGGGAAATATCCAGAAAGCAACTGCTATTTTTTGATAATAGTCAAAAGAAAACTGACTAGAAAAGTTTTATGTAGCAACTCAGTAAATGCAAAAATTTCTCACTGAAGGGAAAATTCCCTGGCTTACACCTTTATAATACTTTACTCACATATGGAATAATTGTGAAACAACCAATATTGCAAAGAGAACAGGAAACATATATTTTTAACGTAGTCAGAAATCCTTGATCTATTCCCTAACTATAATGGGCATATTTTGCTTTGAAGTAACAGTCAGGAGAGCAGAAGGGAATTATTTGGTTTATCCCAAAGCTATTGCCCATATGGTCTTTTGTGGCAAATTCATTAGTGCAACAATAGAAAAAATTAGGTTACGTTGCTGCCACATGCTCCATTTAAAAAGCATTGTGGATTGATGCTAATAAAGTTGAGTGTATCACTTGGATTAGCCTAGTAAGAATGTGTTGCACATTCAGGTATATAAATAATGCGTACATAATAATAATAATAACAACAACAACAAAACATATTCATGTATATAAATAATAAAACTGGTGTGATGGATTAATCTGAAACCCATTTCTAGCTAAATAATCTTGGGTTCAATTTGTTCAAGCGGCTAAGTATAGGAAGTAGCCTAGCTTCTTTTCTGTGCCAGCTTAGGTGCCTGATTCCCAGTGTTATGTAGTAATATAATTAGCTGTTTGTGCTTATTGAGATAGGAATCCAGCCAACTCTGTCTTATTGAACAAATCATAATTAAGCAAACTATGGTTTAAACACAATGTGAGGTAATTCCAAAGGAATAGATTTTTAAAAGGTTAGTTCATTATGGGACTTGAAATAGAATCAGACTATTTTTAAAAACGATGCCTCATTTTTCCCTGTTAAATACAACAAAAAACTATAGCTTACATTTATCAGGATTAAAAACATGATTAGAAGGTAGAAAGGGGCATTTCGGATCCAACCTTCCCCCAGATTAAATCATTTCAGTACAACCTCTGTAACTGTTACGATTACAAGTGCCAGCAGTTCTATACCCTATCTGGTTGTGCCCTATTACAGAATTCTTTAAAGCGTTCTTTCTCCACAATTTGCTTTCATCCTTGTTGAGGAACACCTAAACAATTGTGCATCCTGCCTCATGCATGGAGGCAAACCTTGGTTCTTACTAAATTCTGAGCTGCTCCAAAAGAAGGATCCCAAAAATGCTTTTTCATGAGGCAACTGGACTTCCTTGTTTTTCTTTGAAGCAAAGCAAAACAAGAAAGTCCAGTTGCCTTGTGAAAAAGCATCTTTGGGATAGCTATGACCTGGATGACTGAGAATCTCCATAGACATTTCCTGATAAAGGAGAATATTTGTAGCTCAGGGTTAAAATAAGGGTTTCTTGGTGCTCTCTGAGCTTGATTGTTTTCTTGCAAGTATTTCATTACTCAAACCAGATAACATTATCAGCACTGATTATGTTACTTAGTTTGCAGTATTGAAACATGTGCAAGAAAACAAAACTCAGAGAGCACCAAGGACCTCTCACTAGTTGAAGTTACTTGTGTTGCCCCTTGTTGAAGGGCAACATCTCAAAACAGGCTGAAGTTCATGTATTATCTTAAGCAAGGAGGTGTTTTGTTGTTTTTTAATTGAATATTTGTGGCCCGGGCATAAGCCATCCAAAGAATTATGACATCATGACATGTTATTTTATTTTATTGCCTCTGTGTTGTTTGTTTGAAGGTACTTCGTGGATCTCTACCGCACAAAGGATAAACATTTTATTACTATAAATAGTAATAGCAAGACCACCTCTGAAGTATGGTTGGTAGATTGTCGTCGCCCTTTTAAATCTCCTGTTCTTGTGCAAAAACGAACCCAAAATATCATTTATCATGTTGAGCATCGAAACAATGAGCTATATATTCTTACTACATATGGAAACCCTGTGGTGTACAAGGTATGGGAACTAGAAAGCTTGGCTCAGACAAACAACCACATTATATATTTTAATAATTTATTATCAGCCCAAATCAGTTCATTGCTGATCCAGTGATGGTTAGATAGATGTTTTTCAGTTATCTAAGATTGGCCCAGTGACACCCATCTAGCTTCCATGTCTAAGGGAATCTATGTATAACCATTCCTAGTCCAACAACAATCACCATACCACAGTGGCTCCTTTATTTTAATTTCCAAAGGAAAAAAAAGCCTGTACTTGGTTTCATAGTCAAACCTTGCATATAATATTCATGTTTCCTATATATGCTTTTAAAATGTACCCAATTATCGCATTGCATTCATAAGATCATTTTATTTAAATTCTTCATGCAAAAACAGAAACTTTGAGATATATATAGTTTGGATAAATCGTATCAAAGTAATCATTACATTTGTTTTTACTGTATAGCTTGTTTCTAAAACAAAAATTCTATCATTTCTCTCCATAATGCTCATATCCGTGTGACCTCCGCTTCATCTCTTTATTATCTTTCCTGCTGAGATGTACAGGAGCTTTGGAAAATACCAAAAAACTGGAAAAGAAATACAGCATTGCTTAGCTGGATATTTTTTTGATTTCTGACTGGTACTTAAGCCAACATTGAAAAATATGTATTACTGTGTTGGTTATTTTATTCCTCAAAATTTAGCAAGCATAGACATTCACCTACTAAGAAGATAATATAAAAGAGAGCATAAGTTCATTTTCTTCTGAAAATATGAAAATTACTTATCTTATTTCCTTATTTTCTAAGGAAGGTAAGTTCCTTACCTTCCTTAGAAAAGCTAAGGTAGTTCCTTCTCCAGAATATCCTAAACTATCCAAGCTGGTAGTAAACTAATTACTCAAGTTATTGAATGCTTATGGAAGCATTTTCTTACAAGAAAATTGAAATTTGATTGAAAATGTTTAAATGTTGGAAATTTTCATTTTTTCATATATGTATGCAGACTTTCTTTGTTTTACAGCTGATGAAAGCTCCAGTTGGTTCATGTAGTTTGGAGAATTGGCAGCCCATTTACACAGTACATGAAAATGCCAAATTAATCGACTTAGATATGTTCAGAGATCACTGCATTATCTTTCTAAAACTTGGTGGTGAGCTCTATTTGGATATTATTTCTCTTGTATCAAATACAGTTGAAAATGTTAAGGTAAATATTTAAATTACTACATGTATTACTTTTAATAGTAATAATTTTCAAAATGAATTCTTTTGTTAACTTCAGGGTAAGATAAACAGTATTTATCCTAAGGTTTTCAGAGAAGAAGGATTTTAATAAAAAAATAAATTGTGTCCTTTACATATGCTGCTAATTAGAGGGTGCTGATTCATAGAGTAAGGCAGTTATCCCACATTGCATTTTTAAACATTAAGTATCTAACTTCTGAAATTAGAACTGTCATAATCTTCAACACAGTATACTTTGGGAACTAACCTATTGTGTTTTGGATGGGGTGTAGACATAATAGGCTGAGGATATTTGTGCCATTAATATGGTTATTATTTTCTTCATGCTTTTCCCTGGCTTGGATCATATACCCAACTATCATTAGACTATCAATATCATAATTGTTGAGTAACAATTAAGATTCCAAGCATGCTTTGAGGATCGTTATTAGTACGGCTAAATTATCTACAGTTTCTGTAGTTATCGTTTGTCAGAATATTTTGCTACTTGAGCAAAAATATCACATTTCCTCAGCACCAGTCCTAAAGAATAGCTACTCTGTAAAATGGGACTATACCATCAGCTTTCCTAGTTCCTTAGAATCTAATGTAGTAATGGCATAAAAAAATATCCATATCCTTATCAAATCCATAGCATATTTTCTGTTAGTTCATTCCTACTTGCCGACACAGAGCAAGCAGATTGTGGCTTGCAACTTTGACAATTGACAATCTTAGTTAACAGACCTATTTCTCAATTACCATTTTGAGAAATTAATCTTACCCAATACTCATCAAATTTTACAGCAAAAACAAAATAAATAATTGTATATTATACATACATTAAACATAAGATAAAACCTTAGTGGGCTTTGATTTATAAAAATTTTACTCAATAAATTGTAGACATTTTGCATACGATTATAGACAAATCATGAAAAAACATTTTAATTAAGCATTTTAAAAAAGCATTTTGTTAACACCTGGATCAATTAAAATTCATTATATTTCTATGTCTAGACTCTAGAGCATCATCTTACTTAGCCAGGTTTTCTGTAACTTTAAACACCAAAGGGCTCTTTTGAAAACACAGGTTAACTCCTGCCTTACTATTCAATTATCTGCAAATATTTTAAATTTCACTTAGCATGATTTCAATAAGATGGTAAACTTATACACTCTCTACTTTGCTAATTGTAGCAGTCAAGTTAAATATAGTGCCCATTTTATAAGGGTTTTTTAGTCTTTTTAGATTGATCCTCTTCAGGTTTTAATCAATTACACAGAGTGCAGTTTTTCTGTGTAAAGCTTTTTGACTCTGACTGCCTCAATTTCCAAAAGCCTTTATCAACCCAGTAACCAGAACTTCTTAAAAGAAAGTAAGCAGTGGGTAAGAGACCCTGCTGCTCTCAGAGAATGAATCTTGATTCCTTTCATTTCTAGGAGTGTTAAGTCTTAAAACATAATAGCCCTGAGTTTCCGAATATAGCTGTGCCAAAAAAATAATTTTGTTCTTCACAATGGCTAACGCTGGGAACAGAGTCAGAGGCAAGGATTGTAAGTGGCTGAGCACCCCAAAGCCAATGCAAGGCCTCAGTGCAATAACAGACACTGACTTGGCTGGATTTCAAGTTGGATAGAGTGAACGAGCAGACAGAGGGGCAGGAAAAAAGATTTTTAAAACTTTATGATAACCTAGAAGAGTACAAGGAGGAACCTTATAAGAAATAAATCATGCATTTTAAATACATTTTTGGTGCCCAAATATCACTTTTGGTGACATTGCCTAATATTTTGCCACCTCTGATGATTTCAAAATAGTATGTTTAATTCCATTTGCATTATTTATTTGAATGTCATTAAGTAGCTTTTAGGGAAAATAATTGAATTGTTGCACTTGTTATAATGGGGTCCTGCCATCAGCCCAGCTTTTTTTCTGGGGCAAGTGGAGCACCTCTTGGCCAGTAAATTCTATTATCGGGCTGGAAACTATAGCATATAGTTCAACAAAAAAAATCAAAAGACTGAGTAAATATTAATAATTTCTGTTGTTTTCTAGCTACCTGCTTGGGCCTGCTCACTAGAATTGGAATCTAATTCCGACTCTAGTGCCAACACTTGCTATTTTTGGCTCATGTCTCCTCTTCAATCTCCAGTTCGTTTTGCATATTCATTGATGGAAAAGAGCCTTATTGAATTTACTGAGCAAGAAGTACCAATTACAGCATATTGTAAAACTGTACGTCTAGAAGCTAAGAGCAAGGTAAGCTCTTGTCTTCTTAGCCTCTTGTAAACAGGATTTGGAAGGAAATTTTTTTTAAAAAAAATCCCTACTAGATGCCCTAATCAGTAGAGCTATTGCTATTTCTGAAGTGTTAATATTTCTTTTGTAAGACCTACATTTAAGAAACATGAAGACAAAGTTGTTATGCTTTTTCCCAATAAGCCTTACTTCAAATGAAATGGTCTTGTTTTCCATGCTTTCCGGAGAAAAATTCCCCCAAATAAAGCAAGTGTTAACATATACAAATCTTAATCTGTATGATAATAATCTCCCACTGAATCTCTTCATGAGCTTTTATGAAATAAGAAAAATAATGGTGCAATCTGTTGTATTTTTCAGTCATATAGCAGAGAATTCCTAGCAGACATTTACGTTTTTATTCACATTTAGTGTGAAGAGTGTAAAGCTGTTCAGATCACAATGCAGAAGATGCAGAAGGAATGTGCTGCTTTCATGTTTTATAAACTTCTCATGATTTGTATTTAAAGAGCTTTATATTCTATATTGGTAAACAAATCCTGTAGCAATCCCAAGTTTCTTTTTATTTTCTGAGAGTTTTGTACAAAATGTCAAAGAATGCTAGGATAAATGAAACATGTCAAATATATAAATTGAACTTTTCTTTTGATTTTATAATTTGCAAATTTCTAAATATGCTTTATTGTGAAATGTTTCCTCATTTGCAGGATGAAACTTGGGTGCCAATTACAGTTTTTTATAAAAACAATTCTACACAGCTGCACAAGATGCCACTTTTGGTTCATGTCTATGGAGCTTATGGAATAGATTTGAACATGACATTTAAAGCAGAGAATCTAATGTTAATCAAGGATGGGTGGATATTAGCTTTTTGTCATGTTAGGTAAGTCTGTAATATTATAAAACTGATTTCCTTATTAATATTTCATTGTGAATATGTTTGTGCCTGATGGTGTTATTGTTTAAAGTTTTAGCTTTTTCCTTCAGCCACAACAATTTTGATTCCATTCACAATTTTTTCCCATAAATGTTTTTGCCAGTTATTTGTAATGTACATTGTTGCTGATCATTTCAGGTATACTATTTGCTAATAATGTAATGTTCTTTGTATGAATTCTAACTTCATCAGAACACAGTTTAGTTCTATGGTTTAGTACCATGTTTAAAAGTTTTTTGATATCTGTCACTCAATTCTTAGCATGTCTTTAATTTCTAAGAAATATTATAATGTACATTCGCAGCAATAATTTATATTCAGCTAAGCACAGAAATTATAAAGGATATATTTGCTATCCTCTAAATACTATTTAAATATCAAGTATAACAAGTAAATTCTATTTTTAGCTTCTCTACTTTTTACTGAAAAAAATTATACTGTCCCAGTGGTTAATATCATGTAGTAAACTTTCAGCTATTTTACTTGATTCTAAATAGTTCAACTGAAGGAAAATAATTCCAAAGCAAATGTTATCCATATTTTAAAATTTTAAAACTACATAATGTTTTAACAAATTTTTTTCTTATTAGTATGCTTAGAATATTTCAGAATGCCTAATCCTTAATCCAATTTAAAAGAAATACTAGAATGTAATAATTTTAATGTATTAAAAATAAGATTATGCCCTGCTCTAAAACTGATACTTTGAAATTTAAATAGTTTTTTTAAATAAAATTATGTATGTGCTTTTAATTGAATGTATTCACTCCTTTAATTACTTCTATCCAAATGTTACTAGTGGTTTACTCTATTTTATAACTGATCATGTATAACACCAAAAATATATTAGCACCTTTGGATCCAGGTTGGAGAAACATGATCTGTTAACATTGCAGCCATAAAGTTATGTATAGAAGACCCAATAAGCATGAGAATTTGCACTGAGCAAAGAGGGAAAGCTGTATAACATTCCACCTGGCACATTTACATCTCTGGTTCTACTTAATATCTAATAGTTCTTCATGTTTTTCATGTTCTCTGGAGTTTGTGCATTACTTAAACAATTGTAACCAGCCTGCCATCCATTGAGGACTTGTATACTGCACGAACCAGAAAGAGGCTGAGAAAATATCGAAAAACCTTTCACATCCTGGACATAAACTATTTCAACTTCTTCCTTCAGGATGCTACTATAGGGCATTGCATGCCAAAACAACTAGACACAAAGATAGTTTTTACCCCCATGTCATAAGACTGCTAAACACCGCACTGTTTTATGCCTAAGATATTTATGCATGTAGTAGGGCTGTATTGCTATTATCTTTCTCGTTTTCTCATCTTCTTATCTTTCCTATTACTTTCTCCTTATGATTGATCACTTGTTGTTTGTATCTTATAATTTCTGATCTGTGACTTATCACTTCATTGTTTGTATGTACACTGAGAGCTTATGCATCGGAGATACATTCATTTTGTATCCAATTACACTTGACCAGTAAAGAATATTCAATTCAATAAAGAATATTCTACTTTTTTATTATTTCATACTTCTTTCTGTAATGTTGTTTATCACAAAAAGGACCAGTGTGATGAGCTTGTTTGCAAGAATGTGTGTTCTCCACCATCAGCAATACATTGGGAATTGCAAGATCCATGGCTTTTTTTGGTACTGATAGCAAGGGATATAATTTCTTATCCAAGAGAAAATCAAAAACAGTTGCTATGTTGTCCTCCATTTGCAGAAACAGAGAGTGCAAGCCAATTTGATTATTATTTCTTTAGCTTAATGTTTTTTTAAAATATTAACACTTAAAACAGGCATTTCTGATCAAATCACATATATATTTAATATTCTTGGATAAATATTAGGATGAGAATAAAATGCCTCAGATTTTTTGTTGCTGTTACTCTTATTTTCATTGTCAGGGGTGGAGGAGAATTAGGCTTGAGATGGCATAAAGATGGTTGTATGATGAAAAAACATAATGGTATCCAAGACCTCCAGGCCTGCATCAAGTTATTGCATGAACTTGGATATTCTCAGCCTATGCAGACAGCCTTAATGAGCACAAGTGCTGGAGGAATTCTTGCAGGGGCCATCTGCAATATTGCACCTCATCTTATCAGAGCTGTGGTTTTACAGGTAAGATAACTAATATTTGATTTAAATCCACTATATTGCTTTTTTCCAGGTTAATATTCAAAGACTTTTTTCAATAAACTATTGAAGTATAAATAAATACAATAAAGTATAAATCATAGTGATAATAGAACAATCTCTGACATCAGAAATATCTTTTAAAATGTCTCTTCTACTATTTTAAGTGACAGATAAGCCATACCAAGGTCCAGGAACACTCAAGTACATGTGTCTAGTGCTGTCTAAAATTAAAACAAATAGCTTAAATTGTATCTGAAAAGCAATTAGAAATCTATGCATATTTTTCATTATAGACATAATATTGTATCAAAATATCCATTGTAATATTGTGGTCCACTCTTTTCCAATCTGGTTGCTGCAATTATTATAATTAAGATTCATCGCACATTCAGCCAGATGTTCAGACGGTTTGGCATTTTTATCTACCTATCGAATCCTTTTCAAGGACCTGGGATAGGCAGATGTAAATGTTTGATGGTATTACAGATATTGTCTGTATGGATGTATTACTCGGAACAGGATAGAAACTACCAAATAAAGCTGCCTTTTGCAATTGACGGATGGTGAAATTGTCAATGCTTGACAGTGTTCAAGTGATACTCCAGTTGTTTTGGGATTGCACCCAAGGCATCTTATTACTATTGGTACTACCTTTGCTTGCTTCTGCCATAGCCATTCTATTTCTGTTTCCAGGTCTTTGTATTTTGTGATCTTCAGTTCTTTCGCTTCTATTCTACTGTCTCCAGTTACTGCCACATCCACTGTCCAGACTTTTTTGTCTTTCTTATCAACATTTGTTAAGTCTAGGGTGTTAAGTGGCAGGTGCCTGACTATTTAAATTCTAAAGTCCCAGAACAATTTAGCTTCTTCATTTTCTATGACTTTCTCTATTTTATGATCCCACCAGTTCTTGCTTGCAGGCAAATGATATTTCTTGCAGATCTTCCGATGCACCATTGTTGCTACTTTGTCATGCCATTGCTTGTAGTCAGTCTGCGTGATCTTCTCGCAGTAGCTAACCAGGTTTCTACTGTTCTTCAACTTCTTTCCATAGGCAGAATTTGCTGTCTGTTGATGTCTTCTCAATTCTAGCTCTGTATGCAATTGTCCTTAAGACTTGGCCTTGTGCAGTCAGAATTAGCCTCTGTCTCTTTCTTCAACTTTCCTGCTCTTGACCATTGCCAGCTCTTGTTGTTAAAGTCTCTGGGCACTCTCTGAAGCAAATTAATAGAATAACAGAGTTGGAAGAGACCTTGGAGGTCTTTCTAGTCCAACCCCTTGCTCAAGAAGGAAACCCTATACCAATTCAGACAAAGGGAGGTACTTAAAGTGATGCTGTTACAAAGTTCAGGCTTTGGATGTAAGTCACATTCCCTGACATGATATATTTTAATTAGTCTGCCATGTTCAGATCAGGTTAAAGTATATCAGCCATAGTGTGACTCAATTTGATAACAGTGTTGTTTATTAGAATCAAAACATCATAAAACTGATTATTGTCCATCAGTGTGAAGCTGTTGTTCCTTCCTTTACTCACAGTAATTTCAAACCATTAATTTTTCTTTCTGCCTCAGTGGATTTTCTCTTCTGAACTTCATGGCTTTGAAGCTGAGCAGTGGTTGCTTGTTGACATAATTAACGTCTCTAATCCTGAGAATCATTGCCTCTCACATCAAGAGTTATTAAACTTCTCCTTTTTCTTCTCTCTCTCTCTCTCTCTCTCTCACACACACACACACACACACTATATAAAACAAAACAAAGTTTAGGTTTTGCCTTCCAGTAGTATCCTATGCGTGTTTGGCTCAGTAGGTAACAAGATGGATTGCATCAGCTTTCTTCTGAAGCTAATACTTTCTATATAATCTATTACAATTCCCCATTTCTTTCATGGTTATATCCAGAAAAAGGACCAGCTTGACATTTGACATTGACAGGTTTGACATTCTCCACCACCTACGGAGACTCTTGCCATTATGAAATGGTGGCCTGCTAAACCATCTGCCCCTGCTGTTTTCCTCCTCTTGTTTCTTTCTATTAAGCCCTAAGCAATTTGGCAATGATAAGGAGCAAACTGGGCATGGAAGTAATGGGAAGACAAATCATTAGCAGAAACAGTGAAGGAAGTAGTCCAAGTGCCCTCAACATCTAGACTTGGCAGTATTGAGCTTAACCAGATTTTCAAGGAGAAAATAGCTCCTTCAAATTTGAGGAAATAAAGAATTAGAGTGTGAGATACAATACTAAGAGATTAAACTGATAAAAGAAGTGAAGTAATGCTGTTCTAGGACAGGCAGAATCATCTGTAGTTGAATCATGGGTCAGGACAATTGAACATTACAGCAAGTGAGGAATAATGCAGATGTTTTACTCGTGGTTAAAAACACTTTGGCTTAGCTGATTATTACTCTAGTCTTTATGTATGATTAAAGAAGTTGCCTTTTTTCTTGTATCTTTAACTGCTAATATCCCAAAGTTCTATCTTTAACTTCTCACAAATTAAATATACTAGAAAATACCAGGCTTATCTCTGTTATCTGCTTCACTCGTGTTAAACTTATATAAGAAAAAACGTTTTTATTTTGTTCATAGGCACCTTTTCTGGATATTTTAAATACAATGCTGGACCCTTATCTCCCCTTAACTATTGAGGAACAAGAAGAATGGGGAGATCCAGTGGGAGATGAGGCTTGCAAAGAATATATTAAAAGTTATTGTCCATACCAAAATATTAAGCCACAGGTACTATTGCATTTTGTGCTGGTTAAGTATATTATTGCATTGTACATAACTAAAATGTTAAATTTAGAGAATTGTTCAGACAATTTAATGAAATCATTCAAAATGAAGAGAAACTAAAATTAAGCATAATGAAGCATATAACTTGTATTTCTAAAAAGCAGATTTCAATAAGCAGTAATAAGTAGGATTCAGTGGCAAGAGTAACTAATGGGAAAAGGAAGTCAGAAAGGGGGGAGTTCTTAAAGGAGAAGATACCAAAAGCATAGTTACAAACAGTTTCAGTAATGGAGAGAAGGGAATGGAGGCGAGAAGAAGCCAATGTAGGGATTAAAAAAAATCAGTTATGGATCCTCCGCTGTTCAGTATTTTGATTAATTATTTACATGAAGAGGAAAGGTAGTCAAGTCTGCTAATGATATAGAATTAGGCAGAATACCTAAAGATGGAATACCTAATACCCTGGAAAATATAAACAAAATTCAAAATAGTCTAGAGAAATCTGAGAGACAAGCAGAAATTAATTGATAAATAAAAGTGATAGTAAAATTTAACAGAGACAAATGGAAAGCTTATCACTCATAAAAAAGAAATGAAATGTACAGGTACAGGATATCTGGTTTGGTAATGCTATCTAGATCACTGTGGCCAAAATACAATGGACTACAATGCTGCGGTCAGACTACAGTCTAATCAAGAGGGGTAGCAATGACAATGCAGGCAAAACTGATAGAAGGGATTTAAGGAGGCTGTATAACTCTGAGCAAACAGGTAACTTTCCCATATCAATTGTGAATAGGTATGACTGCACCATAAGCTTAACACTGTCTGGCTTTACCCTCAGATAACTGACTTGCTTGGTTATCTATTTCCAAATGAAGAAAGAGTAGCAGCTAGGATAGAGCTAAAATCAGAGCCAAAGTTATATTTTAACTTCTTTCTAGTCTCAGATAAAAAGTTTATGGAGAACATTCAATAGAAGACAACTGGCAGCTGTTTATCAAGTCAGAGATAAGATCTTCCCATAATTGTCAGCTATAGCTACAGTCTAGATAGATTAATTAACTCTGTTTAATACTTCTTTCCTGCAGACATGGTAAAGCAACTTCCACCGAGTTAAAAATTAATGCCTTTACAGATTGGTATCAGTAATTTCATCCTGCTAACTCAGACATTTTCTTCCCTGCTCTTACTTTTTTTTTCTTTTTAGAATTATCCTTCTCTTTTTATCACAGCTTCTGAAAAGGATCAACGAGTTCCCATGGCAGGATTGTTAAGATACATCAATAAACTTAGAAAAGCTCTACAAGATCATGCTGAAACCAACAATTCAGATTATAAAGGTAGCACTAATTTCTAGATCACATTGGGATATGGTTAATAAAACAATTGCACACATTTGCCCAATCCACCAGAAAGAAGCAAATGGAAGTAGTCATGATATATATGTTTTCCATAAAACTAAAAGTCCAATTTAGGAGTAAGAGCAAAACTGCAACATTATTCCCTTCTTTCAAGAATTGGAGAAAGGGAAAAAATTCATTGGCCTCCTAGCAGATAATTTGAGTTAAGAAACGAGATAAAATTTAGCAAACCTTTCACAGGATGAAGCAAGGAATGACTATATATATTCATGCTCTTTTTTTTCTTCTTCAGTGAAATATGATTTATCAAATTAGGGTCATGATGCTAAATTAGACGAATTATAGTTTTCTTTAAGTGACTCTTTTTAGATTGGATTTTTCAGCATATTTCTTCCTTTTGGAACAGGGATCGATGTATATATACATACCCTGATATGTTGACATATATTGATTATATTGGAAAAGATAGTATGTGTTACATGCAATAAATTAATATTTACATAAAATATAGTAGTTGTAACATCCAGAAATTAATCTGCATACATAGAGGAAATTATTAACACAGAAATAGATAAATTAATCAAATTATTAATTATTATTAATATTAATAATATTTAAAATTAATCAAATTATTGATTAATTTTAAATATTATTAATATTAATAATAATAAGTTGGAAGGGACCTTAGAGGTCATCTAGTCCAACCCCCTGCTCAGACAGGAAACCCTATACCATTTCTGACAAATGGCTGTCCAATTTCTTCTTAAAAACTTCCAATGTTGGCGCATTCACTGCTTCTGGAGGTAGGTTGTTCCACTGGTTAATTGTTCTAACTGTCAGGAAGTTTCTCCTTAGTTCTAGGTTGCTTCTCTCTTTGGTTAGTTTCCACCCATTGCTTCTTGTCCTGCCTTCAGGCACTTTGGAAAATAGCTTGACTCCCTCTTCTTTGTGGCAGCCCCTGAGATTTGTCTTAATATTTAAACAGAATTTCAGTATTAAAGCAGATATCCCATTTAAACATTCGTGTAGTTTGCAAATATACTTAGCATGCCATTGTTTTTCCCTGATTGATATGCAATTTTAATTCAAAGTTGAAAAATAGATATAGATAGATAAATATAGAACGATTTCCTCAATTAATCCTTCAACTAATATCTAACTTCAAATGATTCATCAAGAATATTGACTGTGTGCATCTGTTTAAAAAGAGGGGAGAATTTCTAGCCAGCATATACTAACCACTAGCATAAGCAAACTATGCTCATGATTATCAATTATAAAGGATATGTTTCCATATATGAAGTGCTTGAGAATTATTGAAAAGTAATATAAAAATCTTATGGACAATAACAGGAACATATTTCTATTCAGAAATAAACACCAATCACATTCTTTCCAAGGTGAGAATACACAGCACAATAATTTCAATTATACAAAAATGATTGTGAGATATTAAACTAGGGGAACAAGTATAAAAGGTGTTTTCCATGCATCCTACACTTTGGGGGACCAGTAGTTTTGAAAATCCTCCTTGGATTTTTTTTTTGGCTCAATTCAATCTTTGTCATTTTATCAATTTTTACCTCTGCGATAATGTTGAGGAAAGAGATCCAGCCAATCTGCCCCTCGGCCTCCCTATACAGTATGGAGGTTACATGGCACCATCCCAGAAGCAGGCACCATTTCGGAGTGGCCACAATTCATTGTAGCCACTCCCAAAATTATGCCTGCTTCCCAGATGGTACCACTCAGCATCTATTTAGCAAGGTCACACGGCAGAGTGGCTGCTTCTCAAAGGAGATCTATAGGCTAGATAAGTGCACTAAGCCGTGATGGGGAGTGGGGAGGTGGGTGTGGGACCCAGTGGGCTGGGATGGAGACCAAGATGGGCAGGGGGGCTGCTGCAACATTCCTCTGGTCATGAGGGAGGGCGGATTGCAAGCACCTGAATTTTGTTCATGTGACTGTAGGAACAGTGTAGCGGCCTCAGCTTCAGTCGGGGCCTTAAGTCCCTTTGTTCAGCGCCATCATAATTTTGAACAGTTACTAAATGAACGTTCAAAGGACTACCTATAGTAGTTATTGAGAAACCTTATCCTCTGAATCACATTTTTGGCCTCAAAACGTATCTGAAACACTCTTCTGTTGTAAAAATGAATTGGAATAAATAGGTAGAGGACACTAGTAAATTATTTCCTTCATACCACCAGTCAGTAAGTGTTTATTTATTTATGAGACTTATATACCGCTTTAAGTGCAAGCACTCTCTAAGCGGTGTACACCAGTAAGCAATGTATATATATATTTACATTGTCCCCAACAATCTGGGTCCTCATTTTACCTACCCCGGAAGGATGGAAGGCTGAGTCAACCTTGAGCCGGTGAGATTTGAACCGCTGACCTGCTGAACAGAGTCAGCTAAAGTGGCCTGCAGTACTGCACTCTAACTGCTGCGCCACCTCGGCTCTTATTGTTCAAAGAGCTATTGAAAAATACCCAGAGGTGCTTTTCAAAAGGCAACTGAACTTTCTTGGTTTTTTCTTTGAAAACATTTTGCTTTTAATCCAAGAAGCTTCTTCAGTTCTGAAGAAGGATAAGAAGCTAAACATTTTCAAAAAAAGAAGAAAGTTTGGTTGCCTTTTGACAAATCATAATCTGGATGATGGAGAATCTCCATAAACATATAGCAAAATACTTTTCTTTCAGTGTTATCAGTGTGCATGGTTATTATGTTTCAGAATAGCATCTTTCTTGTCCCTTTAATGTAGATTGCATTTAATATATTTTGATTTCAGGAACTCAGATGTCTAATATTATCTTAGATGTTCAACCAGGAGGCAACCATTGTTCTCCAACATATGAGGATTCTTTAAAACAGGTAGGGATATCCTTTACAATGGAGAGTGTCACAAATTTATAGTATAACCTGTGAAGATAATTGTTAGTCCTCTGAGATACTGTATCTTTTCCTGTATATACAAGTCTTTCCACCTACTAAATCATAATCCCCCCCCCCTTTAGGGTGTGTAGCTCTTTTTTTATAAATAGGAACACGTTCTAGTCATGGAGAAAGGATTCTAGGTTTCACCAACATAAAAATTTATTTTATCACAATCTACTAACTGAAATACATGAAATATTTTTGAAATAAACATTTTTTGGGAAATGTTATTCCCTATCCAGTGTTGTACACATCAAATTATCACCAATAGCACTAATCATTACCAGGAAAAGGGATGGGGCAGCTGGGATGGAGGAGGAAAGATGCACACAGATTAGACTCATTCATTTTCCTTCCCACGAAACTGTGAATTGGTTAAATCATTTTGACTTTGAGATGCTGGATGGAATTCAGCCTCTTGGATTATATTATAGTGACCGAGGAAGATCTTCCCACTAACTGGCTGGTAGTAACAGTTTATGAGGGCTTCTCTACAAGTATATCAGGACTGTACTTTGCACTTTATATAGTGTAAAATCCAGAATCTGTCATTTGGGGTAGAAAGGATCCTTCTGCCTATAAAAGCTTTATATTCAGTAGAAAAATTATGCTGTTGAAAAGATACTGCAATGGTCTATGTTGATTTCTCCACAACAGCAGTCTTCTTTGTTTCTTGAAAAATCTGTTGAGATGGTTGATGGAATGTCTAGAAGAGCAAGGGGATGAGAAATTGTGTCCAAACTGTAACTTGCAGTCTTTTATAGATTTCAGTATGTAAAAACACAGCTTATGTAAATAATGCATCATTCTTTCTTTCTTATTCTGTTTAAATATTTTTAAAGTGTAGTTGTGAACTTTTTACCTACTATAGAAGACACTCATGCTCACATGAAAGTACTTCAACCACAGCTATGATAGAAGCAAAGCAATTTTGAAAGCATTTTGTGACACCAGCTTCAGCGTTGCTGCTGTTGTTCTGGTCACAAGCTGTGTTATACTTGACAGTAATGCTCAATTCACAGAAAGCTTTCCTGATATCAGTGAAAAGCCCATTACAGTAGCTGCCATTTTCTAAAGAGAATTTGGCAGGAAGAACTCTGATTACTCTTCAGACTGCAGACAAACCCCCATGATTATCCCAGTGTTACAGGAGTACGAACAGCACTTCAAGCCCATCTATTTGGATGGAAAGAGCTGCTGAAAATACAGCTCTAAAGTGTGCAAAAAGTTATGAGTACTGTGTTCTTTACTAACTATTTTTAATTGTTTTAGGTTGCAACACAGCTAGCATTTCTATATAGTGAGCTTGGACTTGACAAGCAGGAGTGAAGTCAGGCTGGAATTTTTGTCCTTTACCCAAAGGAGAAGAAAATGATTTGGCTAAATATTCAGAATTACTTGCCCATGTGATTTCTCTAGAACTTTTATTTTGAAACTAAATTTATCCTGTGTTTTCCTATTTGTTAACCTCAATAAAATCATTGTTTGAATTTGTCTTCCTTTCCTATATTGAAATATATGCAGATGGCTCATAAGCAATAATCAGAAAGCAGAAAATACAACCAAAGTAAGGGACTAAAAATCAGCAGTTAAAACTGATCAATTTAAAACAATGCTTGAATATAATTATTTTCATCATTTACCGAAAAACAGCCAGTGAAGGCTAAGTTCTTTTAGGAACGTTATTTGAAAACCTATGGCAAATAACTGAAAAAGCCATTTTTCTGCTGTTGAGTGAAATGCAAGGAACTATTATCTATACTAAAATAGGGTTTGCAGACAGAAGAAATAAAAACTCCTTGATCTTATTACTCTTTGATTTGAAGATCAAATACACATCATGAAATGAACCTGGAAAGAAGCTGACAAGTACAGGATTGAAGTGGTATGTTCCAGTGCCCTCTATTCTTTTTTTTCTTTTTTTTTTTTTGTAAAAAAAATTTTTATTTTCAATTTTACATTACATCATAAAAAATACTTCAGATAAAATAAATTTATACACACAACTTTCAGTATTGCTCACCCATTTCCCCCCAAACCGCATCCACCCTCTAACCTCTTCTCTCACTTCCCTCTTTCCTTCTTCTTCTTCACTCTCCCCCTCTCCTCCTTCTCCTCAACCTTCCTACTTACTTACTTCCCCTTCCTCCTATCTTCTCATTCCAGATGCAGTCCAGGAGAAATGCCCGAGCAATTCTTCTCTCCAAAATAAAACATATACAATAAAACTATTTCTACTTATCTGAGCTATTTAACCTTCAACCCATCCTCGCCCCACCCCCCCTCCCTCCCCGACTTCCCAGAGCCAAGTACAGGGTTATACAAACATATTAAACATAATCTATTTAAGTTTACTAATTATACAATAACCAAAATCATACTAACCCTTAACTCTCTTCAAACTTTAACATCATAATTTTATAAACAAATCCATTACTCATAAAATAAATGAAACTTTGTAGTTCCATATTTCTTCTGAACATATTCTATCCATCTTCTCCATACAATAACATATCTCTCTTGTGAATGGTCCTGTAAATAAGCAGAAATTTTAGCCGTTTCTGCAAAATTAGAAACCTTAAATACCCATTCTTCTAAAGAAAGAGAGTCCTTCTTCCAATATTGATCCACCAATAATCTTGCTGTTATTAAATTCAACATTAAAATAGTTTCTTTAGCATCAAAATCCACAAAAATACCCCAAAAAACATAACTGGGGAGTAAACTTAATTTTCCTTTTAAAAACCTTTTGAATGTTACACCAAATCATAATCCAAAAGGCTTTAATATTTTTACAAGTCCACCAAACATGAAAATAGGTTGCATCCAAGCAACCACATCTCCAACATTTAGGTTGCAGGTTCGGGTATATACAAGACAACTTTTTAGGATCCAGATGCCATCTATAAAACATTTTATAAAAATTTTCCCTCAAATTTTGAGGCTGCGTAAATTTAACATTTCTAATCCAAATTACCTCCCATAAATCCAATGAAATCGGTTCCTGAATATTCTGGGCCCATTTAATCATACAATCTTTTACTAACTGTTTCCGAATCCAATTTTATTAACTCATTGTAAATTCTTTTAATATGAGCATATTTCTGATCTTTAATCTGAATTACCAAATTTTCATCTGCTAAAGTAATTCCCACTTTCTTATCTAAGGTCCACCTCTCCACTATTTGCAAATATTGAAACCATGATTGTAAAATATTTTCTTGCCTTAGCACATCTGAAGACTTTAGTTGCCAATCAGTACCCGACCAAATAAGTAACTCTTTATACGAAATATTATCAAAATTGTCCTCTATTCTTCAAGAATCCTAACACCTGCAGTCTGGACCAGTCCAAATTAGCAGACTGCCCTGAAGGTCAGGTTTATCTAGCATATTATAGAATCTAAGGTAGTATGAATATTATATGAGAATTTATTATTTTAAAGTTTAAAGTTACCATCATATCTTTATCCCCTCATTAGATAAGAAACAAAATATATGGTATATATTTAATAGAAACACACAATTTCGCAGAATGGGAGAATTGGGAGAACTAGAAAAGCCACCTAGAACGTTTCAAAGGGCTTACAATTAATAGGAAAGTAATTTTACAAGCAACCATTTAAACTTAAGTCTGCAGTAAACAGTACATTGTAACTACTAGAGAGTTAATTTTCACACTTTTTAAGTAATTCTAACTCTCCCATTAGAATTAGATCAAGCCTATAGAAATCTATGAATAAGCTGGCATATCTTTTGCAAAGAAATAACATGTAATCATGAACTAATGGATTTGGATTAAATAATGACATTTAACAGTACATGTAAAGTAAATTAAAGACACTGGAATAGCATGCCTTTTCTGCAATGAAGCACTTCTCTTTGAAGTTGTCCATCCCATGGAATGGTTTGCTTGCCCTATATTCCAATATAAGTCCTTCACCTTGTTGCGTTTCAATTTTTTTCATGTTTACAACTTTCCCAGTATTACTAAAAATAGTGCTTAGCTTTATACTAGCTTCTGAAGGAATACCAGGAACCAAAGATTGCAGATTTGTTACGGTTCCCACTCCAAAATTTAGAACCATCATAAACACTTGATCCAACCCATCAAGTTCTCTTACATAAACAAAGACATTGGTATCATTCCATATGTAACATGTCCATCCCCTGTGAATGGGAAGCTCACTGGACCGAAGAGAATTGAGTTGTCGGTACAAGTTGAGTGTGGAATCTGGATGATTTTGTTGAATCTGTAATAAAGGAAAATCATTATTTAGCAATTTATTAAATGCTGAAACCTTATTCATTTGTTGTTACATAAACCTCACTGGGGTCTTGGTAAGGTTCTATAATCAAACATATAGTGTAACTTGACTATAGGTAGTCCTCGATTTACAACAGTTCATTTAGTGACCATTTGAAGCTATAACAACACTGAAAAAAGTGACTTGTGACCATTCTTCACACTTATGATCATTGCTGCATCCTCATGGTCATATGATTTACATTCAGATGCTTGACAACTGGTTCATATTTATGATGGTTACAATGTCCCTGGATCATGTGATCCCTTTTGTGACTTTCAGACAAGCAGAGTCAATGGGGAAGCCAGGTTCAATTAACAGCTGTGTTACTAATTTAACAACTGCAGTGATTCACTTAACAAATGTGGCAAGAAAAGTCATAAAATGGGGCAAAACTCACTTAACAAATTTCTCATTTAGCAACATAAATTCTGGGCTCAATTGTGGTCTTAAGTTGAGGACTACTTGTATATCCTTCCTATCCTGTATTTTAGCAAACTTTCTACTGTGTTTTCTATTTTAGAATATAAATTACTTTGGAACACACACTGTGTTGGCCTTTGGCTATAATAATAAATTGTGTTTGTGTGTGGAACACACACACTGTTTTTGTACCACTGTAAGACATCCTATAGTTGGATAATGTATTAATTTAAAAAATCCTCCCCACTTTATCTTCTATTAATTCTCCCCTAAAGTTCCTGTATCAAGTTTTTTTTAACTACACTGTACTGTATTTCAGACATCAGAGGATATTTTAGTTTTTAATGACAAACAAATGCTTGGCTTACTAAGTTTTTTTATATTCTTTAACTCTACCAAAACCAGGTAGTATAAATACTATTTAGGATTTTCTATTTATTTATTGCCTGTCTTCATACTACAGATAAATTTGAATAAAATGAATGCATAAAAGCACACCATTATTGTACACTTTGGGACTAATACAATATTTCTGCAGAATTTATTGGATACTCTAGAGACAAGTGTTCTGCTGGAGGCCCTCAAAACCATAACAAAGCATTCCATATTGTACCATCTGGAGTGTTCTGAGGTAGTTGAGCCAAAACTATTTTGGGGGCATGTTGGGATAGATATATGTAGATGTTCAGATGTTATACTCACTTTCACATTTACATTTCGATAGTCAGGATTTACTGCTATCCATGTTGAGTTGCCCTCACTAAAGCCAGCATGAAGGCTATCATCCCATTGCATTGGTGCTTTTTCTAGAAAAGGTGCCTAAAAAGAGGAGGAACTATTCAGTACTAAATTGAATGTGCATTTATCCATTATGTACATTTATATCTTACTTACTGTATAGTCATATATCAAAGGAAGTTACATAAATATTAATAAAATACATTAAAACAATATAAAACGGGGTGGGTAAGAGAGCCAGCAGCAAAGGCTACCATCATCTGTGCTGGAAAAGCTCAAAAATGAATACTATTTGGAGCCATCTAGGACAGAGTTTCTCCGGGTTGGCAGCCTGGAGCGGAGGGGAGAGGGGAAAGAAGGGATGTTTTGTGGGAGGGGTAAATGCATGCTTGCACACATGTGCATGCACAAACACCTGTTGCTTGTGTGAGAGGCCATGAGCGCTCACGTGAGAGGGATCAAGGCACGAGTGGGGCCGCAAGTGCCTATGATGCTTGTAGAAACATGCAAGCATGACTCTGCATGCAGGCATGCAGCGGCCAGCCACTCACATGACCCAGTGGCCAATAGGCCGCAGCCTGGTAGTGGGCTGTGGCCCATAGGTTGGGGACCCCTGATCTAGGACACATTGTTTGCCCAAATAGGTATGATAAAGAAAAATATTAGAAAATCTATTTCACATTTTGACCTTGGTTCCTACAGTAGCCTCCATGCCTCTAGAGATTGAGCTGTATTTTGCCAACCAGGACAATTAGGGTTGAGATTTCCTGGTAGGGAGACACTAAATTAAAGGGCTAGATGGACTTCAAAGAATATTTCTTGTTGGGTGCTTAAAATTTTATAGAAGAATATATCAAGATTTTGAAATTAACTGTAAAAAACCTTTTAAGTTTCACATACTTCACCATCCATTCCAAGGCCAAGATTGGTATTAATCTATGCAAATGTCTACAGAAGCTGTTTCTGGCTCATCTAATGAGCGGCATCTAGCCAGTTCCTGGAGCCATAGTGGTTCAGTGAGGAAAATGTCTGAAGAGCAGTGGTTTTGTTTTGTGGAAGCATTTTGGCACAACAAGGTGGCATTGATTTCAGCATGCTAGGAGCAAGAGTCCTTGATAGAAATTTAGGACTGAGAATTCCAGTGAATGGCAGCAGTGAGAGAGGAACAAGTTGGTAGTTTTGTAGGAGAACAGATAGAACAGTAACTTTCCTTTCTCTTCTCCCTGGGATCCAGAGCTGGGTTCTCAAGATTGATGTATGCGGATTCCATTGTGGTTGCTGGAAACCAGAGTAAGAAGTTCTGTACTGGCAAGGCTGACTTTTTGCAGTGGGATTGACGAGATTGGCTAGTCTTATGTATCAATCTTGGGAACTGACGTGAGAAAAGGTTTTGCCTGCCAGGCCTATTAGATGTGAGATTCAGATGAGACCAGGATGCAGGGGGAAGGGGCGGGGCTGGAATAGAGTGAAGTGGGGATTGGTAGTGTGGATGATGTGAGATGGAGGCACTGCTCGGGCCTGGATGCTGAATGGTTTACAGAAGAAATATAACCTGGTTGGCAGCTTTTATATCCTATTTGCTAGTGTTGGGTTACATAAGTTCCTTCAGCTTGGAGTGGGGAGAGGGAATTGTTGAATGGGGGAAAGTGTGGGCATTTCAGTGGTGACATGGGGAGTAATTATGGCAGATGGGGCAGCGGCCTCAATGTTTAAGACAAATCCTATAATAGCCAACCATGTTAGCTGTTGATCATGAGGGATAAAGTCCTGAACAGCTGAAGGGCAGAAGACTGAGGAAAGGCCCTTTTCATTACTAGATTTTACCTCCTCTATAACAAACCTCTCAAGAGACTAAAAAGTAGAATTTTTAACTCACAGTTCCTGAAGTTGCATCTTCCATCCCTATTTCTTCGCCATAATAACTTACAGGTGTTCCAGGAAGGGTTAAAAGAAGCATATTTATGACATTTATATATTCTTTTCCAATCCGAGAGGATATTCTAGCAGTGTTGGAATCTCCAACCTAAAATTAAATAACACATTATTTCATTCCTAGGGTACAATCTTGTATTATTTATGGAAATTCAAATTATATAAACTATTCATGCAGCAGGTTTAGAATTCATTATCACTTGATGGGCTAAAATTGGCTAGGACATGCTAAACCAGTGGTCCCCAACCTTTGTGGCTTTGCAGCCCAGCGGAGGGAAGGAGAGTGGAACCAGGTATTGTGAGCAGCAGGATAGCGCATATGCATGCGCACAACTCAAGTTGCACAGGTCGACTTGCGCAGCCCGGTTGTGAATGGGCCATGTCCCAGTAGTGGGCCGAGGCTTGGGGGTTGGGGACCCCTGTGCTAAACCATAAGTACAATCATTAGCAGATTCATGTCAACTTTTTTCTCTTTCTCTACCATTACACCGGATATAACTGTTTTAAAACTATTATTGTTATTGTTGTTGTAATTAATATACAATAAAATCATACATATTGTGCCTTTCAAGCATAATTTCATATTTTTAAGAAAGCAGACAATATTGCCTTATAATATATGTTTTGGGTAAATTATTTCCAGAAGGAAACAACTAAAACTGAAGTAGACTGTATCTTGCTCTCTCTTATCTTAGTTTGCAGTTAATATTTGAATTTTCTGATTTCCAAGAAAGTTTGCATTCTTATAAAAATGATCTGCACCATAAAATATTTAAATAGTTACATCCTCTATGAAAAAAATTCCTTGAGTACTGATGTAATGGTTAAAGTGTTGCTCTGATAGAGGAATTCTTAGCTCAGAATGGGACAACTTGCTATGGCCAACTCACCACAGGACCACTTGCTGTGGGACAATTCAACAATTCATTTTAAGTATTTAAAATAATTAAAAAGTTATTTTATTTTTTTGTCATTCACATTTCATTCTGTCCCTCCTTTTTCATCCTTTCTTTAATGATTCTATCCCAGGATCTCTTTGACATTAGGGTAACTCTTGTCCTGCAGCAAGTTGTTCCGTGGCAAGTTGGCTATGCCAAGTTGTCCTAGATCCCTCTCAGCTATGAGACCTTACTGAGGTTTGGACCAGTTATTGTCTATCAGATCACCCTCCTCTACACAACTGTTTAGGGAATAAAATTAAGGGAGACTCTTCTCCCTCATTCACCACATAAGAGATCCCAAAATTATACAAACAATAAATCTGCAACAACTTATTTTTTTGTATTGCTTTCGACTGAAAGGGCTTTTGCTCTATAGATGGTAGGACATAAATTGTCCCCAAATTATCGAGCAGAGTCAGATGCCACTGAATTATCAAAGCTACAAACTACATGCTAAACTGTCTCATTACATTACACAAAGGCACAACATAGAAAACAAAGAATGATTGCCTTATACAATATACAATATTGTATATACAATATATGATATATGACCCCCCCCCAAATTGTTGGGTGCAACTCTCGGCATCTGCCCAAAATTCTTGCTGAATTGTTGGTTAGCTTTAATGTGATAGAGGCATTGACAGGGAAACATGTAATACAGACCATGGGAAAATATATCTGGTGTGCACATAGACACAAATATATGCATACTCCATATAATTTAGGCATATTTATTTTGATTTAAAGTAACTTTCTGTGAGATGGGCAGTCAAATAAATTTGATTAATACATAAATAAAACTTTAGTTTTGCTTTGGCACTTTCCCCCTATGTCCTCTTTATCTTGGACTGTTCGTTTTAGAAAGGATTATGCATCCTTACTATGAATAAATATTGCTTGATTTAAAAAAACATAAAAGGTTATACTGCAAACTAAAAATGTCAAAAGTCCTCCAAACCAAAAACTTACCATCCAATTTGGCCATTTTCCTTGTGGCATATTCTTCATCCACAAAGCTATGCTTTCAGAAATATCATTTCCTGAAACTGATTCCATGATCTTGAGGTAGAAATTAACAGGAAAATCAGCTTCTTGAATAAATGATGTCCCATAATACATCATAGTATCTTCAGTTTTGTTCTCAATTGTTTCTGTAGCCATAAATCTGCAAAGGAGGAGAGTTTGCATTCTCATGAAAATGATCTGCATGATAAAGTACTGGAATAGTTACACCCTCTATGTAAAAAAAAAAAAATCCCTGAGTTAAAGTTATAATGGTTAGAGTATTGCTCTGATTTATATTGTTTACATTCTGATTTATATTCTTTGCAGTCATCGGGTCACTAGCACACTGAAGGCTGATCGTTAGCTGCTAACAACCAGAGTATAAATCCTTCCATACCCCACCATTCAATCAGAAGTGAAGAAGCTTCTTGGATGAGAAGCAAAATATTTTCAAGGAAAAAAAACAAGAAATTTCAGTTGCCCTTTAAAAAGCACCTTTCGGACAATCATGACCTGGATGATAGAGAATCTTCATAGACAGTCAAAGGAGCAGACAGGACAGCATCTGCTGCCAGCCTGACAGATGCTGGGTCATGATGCTGACAGAAAGCATGTCATCAATGTCTGTCACAGATGATGAGCCACATGCCTGTCACTGCCAGCCCTTTTCCTCCAGCTTCCGGCCAAAGCAGCTACCATCACTAGCTTAATTGCCTTTGGTTCTAACCTCTGAATCAGCACAGGAGGCTTCCTAAGAATTTAGCTTAACTAACTCCAAAAAGGAAACAGTTTAGACAAGTAGCTAATTCCCTAAAGAGGTAGAGCCTCTATGTCAGGCATGTCAAACTGTCAGCCCGCAGGCCAGACGCATCATCCCAAAAACCGCGCCCACCCCATTGCTGGCAATGGGGAAAAAGTCACGATACGTCGTCACAAGTTTGACATACTTGTTCTATGTTCTTACTGGAAACACATGGTATCAATCAGTTATCCTGCTAAAATATGTGTTCTTATTGACTGTGAATTGAAACTGAAATTAATATCAGCAACAATTTTGGACCTGGCAAAATTTAAAAATCAGGTAGAACGAGACTTGAAATTGTAATAAAACATGTTATAAAAATAAGTAATGAGACACTAAGTTCAACATGCAATGACTAGCTGGCTGAATATTTATTCATTTAAATATGTTTTCCTTTCAAAGAAGGTATAATAGGTGAATACTGTAGGATTTGAGATAATTGCTACATATATATATATGTAGGTCTTTGGTTATTCGGGTTTTTTCCCATGTCAAATTGGATGTGTCTTGGCGACGTTTCGACAAAGTCCCATTTCTCATCTTCAGGCTGGTGTTTTCACTTCCAATTTGCTTTTATATATATATATATATATATATATATATATATATATATATATATATATATATATGCTTGAGAAGTTTAAAAACATGAACCCTGGGAGTATTCATGATAAGAAATAAAATGAGCACCAGGGTAATATTAAAAACTATAAAAGATTTAATTAAAAAAGCGCCAAGCTTTCGCCGTCACCTGCCGGCATCCTCAGGGCTGGTGCGCCAGGAAGTGAGAGTCTCTTTATAGGTATGTCATTGCCTGCGCGCGGCTCCTCGACCTCGTCATCGGGGCTAGTTGGTCCAATTGCCTAGGGCTGATTTGTTTTTTTCTGTTCCTTTCAATTACGTGTTTCTCCTCATCCATTTTTTTGCCTTCTTTCAACTCCGGGGTAGTTAGGTGAGGGTCTCTATTACTTCGATGCTTCCTATATTGTGGCTCTTCCTTGGGGTTGGATGGTAATGCGTGTTTCATGCTCTTTTCACAATTATCCCTTATCCAATTGTCCTTTTGGTGATTTTCCCGTTTGATTTTATTGTTTTTACTTTTTACATTGCTCTCATCTGGGTGGACCTGTGAGTTGTTCCGAGTTAAATATGATCTGGTAACAGTCCGGGGTCGGGTAATAGGTTGTTTTGTTGTAGGGGGGGGCAGTTTCTTGGTTGTCATTATATCCAGCTGTTTTGCGCGCGTCCTACTGCGGGTAATTGGTCCGGGGGGGTCGTTGGTGAGATCGCGTTCATCCTGGTGACCGCAATGCTTCTTCTCCGCTTCCCTTTTCTTCTTTACGCTGTTAATGTCTATATGTACGTCAGGGAGGGCTTCGGGATTCACGGCTGTGGGGCGCGATGGTCCGTTCCTTTGCTCCTCGTCAGTCTCGCCAATCCCGTTCTTCCCGCTGATCTCCTCCCCCTGCCTCTCCCTTCGTTTCAATTTGCTCTTTTCCCTTTCCTTTTCCCCACTGACGTTCACAGGTCTATCGTTATTTACATTTTGTAAAACCTCCCCTCCCACTTCAGTTGTTCTGGTCGAGTGGGGAGGTCTCATTTTCCTCTCGGGATCAGTCACTGCATTCCTTTCTATGTGCGAGTATCTTGTCCCATTCTGGGACTCCTCCCCACTTTCATTGATCGTATCCTCTTTTACATTCATCCCGGTGCCTGTGCCTACGTCACGGGGGTCTTCGGGATTCACAGCTGTAGGGCGCGATGGTTTGATCCTTTGCGTCTCCTCAATCCCGTAGGTTTCATCCTTCTCGTGCGTTTCTCCCCCCTGCTTCCCCTTCCATGTCGGTTTGTTCTTTTCTTTTTCTTTCTCCCCAATGACGTTTGCGAATCTATCATTGATTACATTTTGTAAATTCTCCTCTCTCAATTCAATTGTCTTGGTCGGGGAGGGGGGTTTTACTTCCCTCTCAAAGTCAATTAGTGCATTTTTTTCTATACGTGAGTAACCTATCGTATTCGGGAGTTCTTCCCCATTTTCACCAATTACATCCTCTTTTGTATTCCTCTCAACATCTCGGGTGTTCATGAAGTCAAGGTTCTGGTTCTTGGTTTTTACTACCCCTTTGATCTTTTGAGGTTGTGGCACCATTGTCTCTTCTTCCCTGATATCACTGCGGTTGTTATTAGTTCGTCGGGGGTGTTGCTGCTGATTAGCTATAGTCCACGATCTTAAAGCTGTATACGCCGGGCACAGGTCAACACGTCTATTAATGGAATTGTCATCCGAGAGCCATGCCTCTTTAAGTAGGCGGCCTCCCTTGGTATTGTCAGTCGCCAGTACGCTAACCTCATTGAAGTTGAATCTGTGGTCCCATTCAGCCATGTGTGCCCATATCTGGGAGTACTGGTCTCCTCTTTTCACTGCTAATTTATGTTCATGGACCCTGGTCTTGATTCGTTTAGCTGTCTCCCCAACATAATTACATTGGCAGTCCAATGTAGACCTGTTGCCTGACCAAATTGTGACCTGTTGCCTGACCTATTACGTGAGTCTCGTAATAATACCCCACCGGGAAGAGTGGTGCATAATTTATCCTCAAAGGCACTAAGCCAGCCACAATTTTCCTTACTACAATGAGATATAAATTATAATCTCACAGATGCGAGTATGCTTGATTTTGTGGCAGCATTAGAGCCCGCCCTACTTCGTACGGGAGTAGGAGAGGAGGATAGGAATTTGGTCAGGCAACAGGTCACAAGCCTAGTCATGAGCCATAGGCGCTACCAAACATTGTCGATGAAAGAAAGAGTAGCCCTGAATCAACTTAGAAAGGATGACACCATTGTCATCCTTCCAGCTGATAAGGGGAGAGCAACTGTTGTCTTAGACAAAGAGGTGTATGTGAGTAAAGCCCTAGATCTACTCCAAGACAGTGCTGCTTATAGAGTAACCAATACAGACCCCTCCACTACGTTAAAGAATCGCACTAACAAGCTCCTTGATAGCCTCAAACGTAATGGGAGGATTGGGGAGGACACACTGAGAAAAGTGCGCCCTGGCGACTCCTCACTCGCCAGATTTTATGGGTTGCCAAAGATACACAAACCCAATGTCCCCCTCCGTCCCATTGTCGCATTCAGGGGCACACCCACCTTTGAACTTGCCAAGTGGCTGAGCATACGTATTGGCCACTTGACAAATGAGAGCAGTACAACTGTGAGATCGGCAGAAGAGTTCCTCAGTAAAATTAGGACCCTGAAGGTGGAAGAAGACGAACTCATGGTCTCCTTTGATGTAGTGTCCTTATTTACTTCCATCCCGCAGGAACTTGCGGTCACAATTTTAAGAGACCGACTGAATCAGGGAGACCAGGGACAACATCAAGATTCCCTTCAAACGGAAGATCTCATAAAATTGATGGGGATCTGTCTTAATACCTATTTCACCTTTCAGGGTACCATATATGAACAAATTAAAGGAACACCGATGGGGTCACCGATCTCCAGTGTTATTGCAGAGGTAGTGCTCCAACAACTAGAACACATAGCGATGGCCCAATACCAACCAAAATTTTGGGCCCGCTATGTGGACGACACGTTTGTGGTTATCAAGAGGCGGCACAAGACTGACTTTATGGGTATCTTGAATTCGGTATACCCAGACATCCAGTTCACCATGGAAGAGGAGAATCAGGGCAACCTAGCGTTCTTAGATGTGTTAGTACAGCGCCAGCCGAACGGATGTCTGACTACCAAGGTATACCGAAAACCAACATGTACAGACAGGATTCTCCACTTTGAGAGTAATCACCCGATGACCCATAAAGTCAGCTGTGTTAGAACCCTCTTTAAACGTGTGGAGACACACTGCAGCACTGCCAAAGCCAGGAGGGAAGAGAGGAAGTACCTCTTCCAAGTGTGCAAACACAATGGATACCCGGCCAGGTTTGTTAATTGGGCCAACAAACCATCTAGACCTCAAAGGAACCTCACACCTCAAGAACTCACACCCCAGACAACTACACGTGTTGCTCTCCCCTATATCCACAACGTTTCAGAGGCTACAGCAAGGATCTTGGCCCCATACAATATACAGGTGGCCCATAGACCGAATCAAACACTGCGGGCGGCTGTAATGCGCCCAAAGGACCCACTCCCCAGCACTGAAAAATCTGCAGCCATCTATAGGATTGATTGCATGGACTGCCAATGTAATTATGTTGGGGAGACAGCTAAACGAATCAAGACCAGGGTCCATGAACATAAATTAGCAGTGAAAAGAGGAGACCAGTACTCCCAGATATGGGCACACATGGCTGAATGGGACCACAGATTCAACTTCAATGAGGTTAGCGTACTGGCGACTGACAATACCAAGGGAGGCCGCCTACTTAAAGAGGCATGGCTCTCGGATGACACTTCCATTAATAGACGTGTTGACCTGTGCCCGGCGTATACAGCTTTAAGATCGTGGAATATAGCTAATCAGCAGCAACACCCCCGACGAACTAATAACAACCGCAGTGATATCAGGGAAGAAGAGACAATGGTGCCACAACCTCAAAAGATCAAAGGGGTAGTAAAAACCAAGAACCAGAACCTTGACTTCATGAACACCCGAGATGTTGAGAGGACTACAAAAGAGGATGTAATTGGTGAAAATGGGGAAGAACTCCCGAATACGATAGGTTACTCACGTATAGAAAAAAATGCACTAATTGACTTTGAGAGGGAAGTAAAACCCCCCTCCCCGACCAAGACACTTGAATTGAGAGAGGAGAATTTACAAAATGTAATCAATGATAGATTCGCAAACGTCATTGGGGAGAAAGAAAAAGAAAAGAACAAACCGACATGGAAGGGGAAGCAGGGGGGAGAAACGCACGAGAAGGATGAAACCTACGGGATTGAGGAGACGCAAAGGATCAAACCATCGCGCCCTACAGCTGTGAATCCCGAAGACCCCCGTGACGTAGGCACAGGCACCGGGATGAATGTAAAAGAGGATACGATCAATGAAAGTGGGGAGGAGTCCCAGAATGGGACAAGATACTCGCACATAGAAAGGAATGCAGTGACTGATCCCGAGAGGAAAATGAGACCTCCCCACTCGACCAGAACAACTGAAGTGGGAGGGGAGGTTTTACAAAATGTAAATAACAATAGACCTGTGAACGTCAGTGGGGAAAAGGAAAGGGAAAAGAGCAAATTGAAACGAAGGGAGAGGCAGGGGGAGGAGATCAGCGGGAAGAACGGGATTGGCGAGACTGACGAGGAGCAAAGGAACGGACCATTGCGCCCCACAGCCGTGAATCCCGAAGCCCTCCCTGACGTACATATAGACATTAACAGCGTAAAGAAGAAAAGGGAAGCGGAGAAGAAGCATTGCGGTCACCAGGATGAACGCGATCTCACCAACGACCCCCCCAGACCAATTACCCGCAGTAGGACGCGCGCAAAACAGCTGGATATAATGACAACCAAGAAACTGCCCCCCCCCCTACAACAAAACAACCTATTACCCGACCCCGGACTGTTACCAGATCATATTTAACTCGGAACAACTCACAGGTCCACCCAGATGAGAGCAATGTAAAAAGTAAAAACAATAAAATCAAACGGGAAAATCACCAAAAGGACAATTGGATAAGGGATAATTGTGAAAAGAGCATGAAACACGCATTACCATCCAACCCCAAGGAAGAGCCACAATATAGGAAGCATCGAAGTAATAGAGACCCTCACCTAACTACCCCGGAGTTGAAAGAAGGCAAAAAAATGGATGAGGAGAAACACGTAATTGAAAGGAACAGAAAAAAACAAATCAGCCCTAGGCAATTGGACCAACTAGCCCCGATGACGAGGTCGAGGAGCCGCGCGCAAGCAATGACATACCTATAAAGAGACTCTCACTTCCTGGCGCACCAGCCCTGAGGATGCCGGCAGGTGACGGCGAAAGCTTGGCGCTTTTTTAATTAAATCTTTTATAGTTTTTAATATTACCCTGGTGCTCATTTTATTTCTTATCACACTATATATATATATATATATATATATATATATATATATATATATATATATATATAATCAAGCAAATAAACGTGAGCACCAGGGAGTATTTAAAATTTTTAGTAAAATTTAGTAAAATTTAATACAATACCAATAAAATCACCATAAAAATTAATAATAAAACGCCTAGCTTTCGTCAGCGACTGCTGACATCATCAGGGCTCAAAATGCCGGTCAGTGGGAGAGTCCTCTTTTATAGATTGGTCAGAGTCTGCACTCGGCTCCTAGATCTTGTCAATGGGTCTGATGCAATAGGCTGTTTCTCAATTGCCGGTTTCTTATTGGCAATGATTGCTTTCTTGCGTTTTTTACTTGTGTAGCTGTCATTGGGTGTTTTCTCTTTGCCAAATTCAGTCAGATATACCCAGGGATCATATCTTTAGTGTAATTGTTAATATATTTCAAAAAGCACTCAAGGTAATTCTTCCCCCTGTCTCTTCCCTCCCTGACACAGCTGACAAAGTGAGAAAGAACCTGTGGCCTAGAGGTTAACACAGCTGCTTAACATGCAGACAGCCCAGGTTCGAATCTCAGAAGGGTATGTCTGGTTGATGAGAACTACAAAGTTCGAAATAGCTATTCCATTCTCCCTTAATTCTTTGTTAGCAATCCAAATATATATGTATGTATGTATGTATATATTTGCTGGGTAGGCAGCAAGTATGCCACTTAGGTTACAATGTAAGCTCTGTTGAAATCATAATTTAAAATATCAAATGCTGCTGAGATTATAGAATTTGCTTTCTACAACTTTAGACACTTAGCTCCAGTGAGCATGGTGATAGTCAAGAGTTTATGGGAGATGTACTCCAATGCCTGAAAGGCCAAAATTACCAAACAATCCAGCCCACCTTCTTATAATGTTTCCCTTAGCACTGCACTTTGCTACTAACATTATCAACCTATTTCATGGGTATGAAAGGTAATTTTCCCACAGTCAACAGCAAAGAGCCTCACACAGAGCAGATGGAAACTGTCCCTTCCAACAGAGGGAGGTTTCTGCTCCGTAACACAAACCAGACAGGAGAGTGGCAGACGAATTTGAATATCAATTGCAGTATAAATAGAACTCATATTTGATATACAACAGTCACTGGTATTCTGTTTTGTTTCTTAGTTTTTCTATAAGAAACAGAAATTTTGGCATCCTTGTGTGGCTGCTTATCTGTTCAGTTTGCTGAGGAGAAACTTGACACCTGGGAACGTTGCAGCTTTGAGTAATACAAGATAAATAAGGTGAGGCTAACAGATAAAAAATGAATAGGCTTACCTGTATCTACCAGGTTCACTGCTGAACTTATTCATGGTATGCCGAAAAGTGCGAACTATATCATGCAAGCCGACTTGGGTAGCAGTGTAGTCATGATATAGTTCAGCATAAGCTGTGATGTTTTCCTGACAAAACAATGGGATATTGTAATTATTCCTGTGATAATAACCTCAAAGAAGTGCTCACAAGGTGGATTTGGCACACACCCATACTGTTTTTCAATTCCCAAAACTCAGAGAGCTTTATACTGTATTATGAGCACTTTTAAAACTGAAAGTCCAAATACACACTATCAGGGCCACTTCTCTTTTACAGCAGATTCATAGAGTGTGTGTGGGCCAATGGGACCACAGGTGGGCTGGCAGGCTAAGCATGTGCAGGCCACAAGGGCCATGGGGCAGGCCAGTTGCGACCCTTGGCAGGTATTTCTGAGCACAAATAAGCCTTGGAATTACTTTGGGATCTCGTACTCCATAGCGGGGCTTCTTGTGAGAAAAATCAGCAGGAGCAATTTGACTTTGCTTGTGGGAAGCTGGCAAAGAAGGTTGCAAATGGCAATCACATGACTGCAGTTTGCTGCCATGCCGTAATGGCAAACTGGGTCTTGAGCACTTGGATCACAATAGTATGACTGCAGGGATGCTGCAACAGCTGCAACTTCACGGACCGATTGTAAGACTCCTTTGTTCATCACCAATGTAATTTTGAACATCACAGAACAAGCGGTCGTAACTGAAGGACTGCTTGTACTTTTATAGCTTGAAAGTGGGACTTTTCCCAGTGTGGGAAGTGACGTTCCTGTAGTAGACCACCAATGACCCTAAACTGCCCAAGAACTACTCTTCCTAGGTGTACAGTACCTTCTGGTAGGTTCAGAAAATCCCACTTGACAATCCTGCTTGTGAAAGTTTAGTTTGAGAATTTTCCAGGAATATATTCTGAAAGAAGTCTCATAAGAACCAAAAAATGTCTTACAAAATGCAGCATATGATATACCCAGAGTTGCAGCAAACCTGTTTGTATCTCCTATATTGTGCAAGAAATGCAAGTCGGATGCTATGTTTATAAGCTAGATGACTTTCTGTCTCCAAATAGTTTTGGGCTGGACTCTTTAACCTTAAGGTTCTCTAGGATTTTTAGCTTTTAATCTATAAGTCTGTGAAGCTGAACCTCAGTGTTGGTCCTTCCACTGAAAGGCAATAATGCTTTTGCTGTGGCTCTTCAAAATCATAAACAAAGATTATAAGAATACAAAAGAGGCCTCCTGGACTTGACTAAAATGCTTGTTCTTATTTAGCAATTTGTTTCCAACACTGACAAAGTAAAAACCTTCATGGACTCCCCAGGAGTCAAGCTTGGCCTGACAGAGACATGAACTTATTTATCAACTGGAAACAACCCATTTCTTGCTATTTGTCTCCCAGGATATATTCAAAAACATGCATCTGTGCCCAGAGTATTCATAAGTTGGGGGGGGGGGCAGGCATGAAAACCAAATAAAAAATAAATGCATGTATATCGATGCATATATTTATCTAGAAATCTATCTGTAGCTTTTCCTGATTCTATTGTCTAAATTCCTTCTTGGTAGAAGTTTGTTATTTAAATCTTCCCACCCTAATATTTTACAGCTCATGCTGATCTTTACTGTTTCTGTATCACCAATTAATCTGTGTTCCTGTCATCACAAATCATCCACCATCCTCTAATAGAGGCAATGAAGCTTCTTGGATGAGAAGCGAGATGTCTTCAAGGAAAAACTAAGAAAATCCAGTTGCCTTTTGAAAAAGCACCTTTGAGACAATCATGACCTGGATGACCAAGAATCTCCACAGACATTTATCAGCCTGTAGTTTATAATTTGCACATACTGTATGTCCCCCAAATACACTCCAATCATTCTTAATATATTGCAAATCACTGTATTATATTGACAGAAGCCTAACAACTGATAAAGAATTATATAGCACCCAGCAAATGCAATAAAATCTAAGCATTTGTTCCTTATGGAAAGACGAATCTGAAAAACT